AAAGGTGACTGAAAAAGTACTTTTAACTATTCATCTTCCCAGCCCAGAACTCATGGGATAAAAAGAGTAAAAGTAGCAATATCTGTTATAGATGGACTCCAAATAAGAACTTATGGTGTCATATTTAAAATTCTGATCTCTTACTGTTATCAGTGGAAATGGTGAGTTCTCAGCAACCCTGAAAATTAGTGAAATCAGATTTCAGCCAGTGCCTTTGTTCTGAGAGATCTGTTGGAGTGGCTGTTGTAATACGTGCACTAGAAACAATTTTGCTGTGGATGAAACAGAGCTATCCCTGGGATGGAAACACAGCAAAAAACTATGGGGAGGATACATTTTTTGACGCTGATAGTGAAGTAATGCCATACCTGTTACTAAGATCTTTTCTTAAATATTTTCACATAGCAAGCTGCATAGATCTTGTTCATGGTAACAAATGAGTTGCTTTATCTTCAGTTTTATCTCCACTTCAGAGAGCCAAATGACTGTTTCAACATGCTATTTTAACTACTCCTTTATGTCTGCTAACATAGAGGCCTAATGTAGTCGTCTAACATTGATAAATGTCATAAGTCAGTAATGTGCTATGTGGCTTCCCCAGAATGTTTCGCTCTTGTTCTGACTGTCTGGATACGAGAGAAAACATATTTAACTTTCTTTCTGGATTCTTCTGTGGATTCCAGTGTGGTCTAGCTGATGAAGTAAGTATTCACTGTACAGCAACTGGTGAAAGGTGCCTATCAAAATGTGAAGCGTAAAACTGCTTTAACAAGACAATATTGGTTATAATTAACAGTATGGTTTTAACATGGGTCGTTTTTTTTGTCTTTTTCTTTTCCTTAAGATCAGATTGCAGTAGGAAAAGTTGTAACCCTAGCAGCAAAGACATGGAACTCAAACTGCCAAAAAAGATCCAGTGGGTGTTTGTCGTAACTGCTGCTGTGAAACAGATCGAGACAACTGGAAAGAGATTACCTACAATAGCACTTGGTTTTCATAAAGCCCCGCTCTTTAATTAATTTTACTAATAAATTGAATTACAACACCCTCCCAGCCAGAAAACATCTCCAAATTGTTGACGAGAACAATGAGTGACATGCTTGAGGACAAAACCAGAATGGCTGTCATACCTCAGGAGGAGATTGCAGGTTTATCGCTGGAATACTCCACTCTCTCACGCTGTGCCTCCCCCTCCTCTGTCTGACAGGTGATTTGATATCACATAATGTCCCTTTTGTCCAAATCATACACGATGCAGGCTCAACCTGCTGAAATGATGTTAGCAGTACTGAATCAAGCACTGCCATGTCAGAGAAAGCGTGGTGATGAGAGTCAGCCATCCCCATATTGACCCTGAGACCAGGCTTCCGCAGGCATGTGGCTTAAAAAAATAATGTGTTTTTCCTGAAGGCCATCAGACATCCCCAGTATCATCGTAAAAGTTTCTTGTGTCAACTAGCTACTGCTCTGGTGGCCACCGGCAAGGGGCTGGGAGCTGTTTTGTGGGATCTGAGTGTTCCTCACTGCTTTGTGCTATTTGTACTAGAGATAGCCACTACGCATTTCCTACGCTGTTTCAGTGAACTCTTTCATTGAATCGTTAACCCGTGTTGGCAGTTACTGGGATTGTGATAACTATAAAATATAATTTTAACCAGATTAGAATAGGCCTAAAGCCAGAGTCAAACTTCCAGAGGCCGACAGGAAAAGAAGTCAAAGTGCTGACAGGTAGTAAGCAAGAATAAAAACTAATATATAATTTAAACAACGTGTTAATTAATATGATACAGATACTGAAAGCCCTGGGAAACTGAGGGAGGGCTCTGTTTCCTTCACAGTTTAGAAGCAGCCAGAACAGCAGCTTTTTTGCCAAGGTAGGGGAGAAGACCCCCTCCATGTGAATTGCTAACTGGTCTTTACCAACTTTGGCAAAGAAAGCCTCCCAAAGCTAGCCAAGATTCCAAAAGAAAGGAAGAAAATGTTTATTTGTTGTTAGTTCATCAGTCTCTTGAGTCATCAAGTCAAATTAAACTAAGTCAGTTCTTTGCATTTGAAGGACTGGGACACATAATTTTAAGATCATTTGGAGTGATTCTGTGGTGAGCCCTACAAATGAGAGTACTCTGCTATTTCAGTCTAATTTATCATGTGAGTGCTAGACTAAAGTAAATTGCTGTACTTAATACCGGTAGGTGAGCACAATAGTGTGCTTTGTAGAAACATGTTTGAACAACTTCTTAAATGTTAACTAACTTCATGTGTGAAGAAATTACTGTGAGCGGTATGCTGAACCACTTGGTGAAAAATGGTATGTTTGAAAAGTGTAGGTGTGGTACAGCCTGATGCATTTCATACTTCATTGAGAGCTTTCTGGTTTGGTCTAACGGGAGGTGATTGGTTCTATCCGCTTTCAAGTAACTTATTTACATCCTTAGGCCTAGATCATATCATATCATATCATATTGTGTGTCTGGGGGTTAGTTCTGGTCTGAGCCGTATTTGGGTTTTGAGGGAAAAAAAAATAAATTCCACTATTAAGAGATTTTTCTTCCTGTTTTTAAACCATTCCGGTACTTCTAAGATGGTAAAATTAATGACATTATTAACCACTCCTTACCTGGCTGCTTCCAGAAAAGACCATTGTGGTATTGGTGTGTGAAACAGTTGTCTTCACTTTTACTCTTCAAAAAAAAGAGAAAATCTAGGACATGCCTTTGACTGTGTTTTAAGTAAAGGCAAAAAGAGGAAATGGAGCAGGGGGGAAGATGGAGGGAGATGTTCAGAAAAGACAGCACGTGTAAATGAGAGACTAAAAGAATGAGAGCAAGACAGAATTTGCTTCTGAGTTTTAATAGGAAAGGGCAAGATTATTCATTTTGACTCCTTCAGTGAGTTTGTCTGAGTCTGCCCTGGAAGAGGTCAGGGCTGTGCCGGGATGGCCACCCTCATGGTCCAGCAAACACTCTGCTGGTGGTTGCTCACAAAGAAGTGACACATTCCTTTTGAGCTGTTTAGGTTGTGTGCTCACAGCTTGAACGCTGAAGAAAACTGTGTGAGGAGGAACTGACGGCTGCAGAATTAGTAAAAGAGGTTCACGTGGAACATACCACGGTTCCTGGGCAAGATCCTGTAATCCTAGATGGGATGGCGTTATACTGCACTTTCACATTGGTTGCCCTTTTGTATTCCAGGGAACTATTTGGAGAAGCAAATGCTGTTTGGCATGAGTCTAGCGCTGCATAATTTACATTACTGTTATTGTATTTTGTAGCATGCAGAACAGAGACTCGGTTCTGAGCAGAGTGTATGGAAGTGTGGCTGCCATTTGTCAGTCCGAATTTAATTAGTTGCATTAGCTGTAGCAGTGAAGATTGAGCAAGCAGGATGTCCCTAAACACAGGCAGAAACATCAAGAAACAGTTGCTTTTAAGGGAGAGTGGCCCAATTTGTAATCAGGTTTCATGCTTCTTATTTTCTGGCAGTGGAAGTCTGGACTCTTATTGATTCAGACTAATTTGCCGGGGGGGGGGGGAATTCCTAGAGACGGAACTTGTACAGCTGTAGATTACCATCTGATGCTGCTGCTGTATCCAGCTGTTGTGATAGTATTTATTCTAGCACAACACTGCAGAAATGAATAAAAAAAAATTAGGAAAGAAAAAAGCTGTAGAACCAGAATGCGTTACAGTAGTTAGCTCAGCAAAGCCTGGAGCAGTCAACCATTTAAATACCTACTTAAATCTCAGCACGTTCAAACTTCAGCAACTTATGCTCGTGCTCTAGAGCTTTGCTTGTCTGGGCCAAAGGACTAGGAAAAGGGAGATTTTTGTCAATACTGGAAGAATTATGAGCTTGATGCGCCTGGAATTGCTCTAGTTTATATACCTCAGCAAAACAGGTGTAAAAGAGCACTGTGTCACAACAGTAGCTTCTTACAGCACTGATGTGTGCATATAAATACCTGCAACGTGTGTTAGAGATGTGGTCTCAGAACATGTTGCCTCTGTCTCTGACAGCAGGTATTTCCCTGGAAGTGCAGAAGGACCAAATTCAGACCTGAGAGAGATGGTTGCAAGCTCTTTGAAATCAGAATTGCAAACACGTATCCTAGATCTGAACTTGACCTTAAGCCAATTTGTATTTCCAGTTGAAATATATCGGAGAAACCAGGGGGATATTTTTTTCCCCTCCTTTTTACATGGCATGTTTTGATGGCAAAGTTTGTTTCTGGTGGTAAAATACATGACAATATTAAAATGAACGCATCTAATCATGATTGAGCAGGCATGGTATAAAGCTGGCTACAATCTCTGAGAAATAAAACTTAGCTGGCATGCCGCAGGTGCTTCTCGAGCAGGAGGGGCTGCTTTTCTAAATAGACTGTATTTATTATGGGTGGCTGGCTATCTGCATTCTGGCTCCGTTCCCTGTAGTAAGGAACTGACCACATTACTATTTGCAAACACAGGGTTCACTCAAGTGGTACTAAAAGGAGAAGAGGTGGGGCAAGCAGAGCTTTAAAAAGAAAAGAGGAGTCCGTCCAAGTTTGTATGTAAAAAGCAACTGCGTTTTGGAGCAGGACGGTACCTGGAGATCTGGCTCCCTGTGCTCCACTGAGCGCTGCGGTGAACAGTTTTCCAAAATCGCTGCTTTTAAGATTTAAACGGCAGCTTTGCTTGTTGCAAGGAGACTCACAGTGATCCTTGCGAGCATTGCTTTTAAGCTGTGTTAAATTTGTGGCAACAGTGTCAGGCATTTCATACTTGGCTTCCAAAAAAGAAAAAAGAAAAAAAAAAAAAAAGACACGAAAGAGAGAGAGAGAGAAAAAAAACCCGACATGTGGGGAAGAAATCTCCCAGGAATTTCTTCAAGGTTGTAGTCAGACACAGTAAGGGCTAAAGTGACAAGAAAAGCAAGGCAAGATAAAACTTGGTATTGTGATAAGATGTCTGAGTGTAAAGTGGGAGATTGCAGAAACCTTTTGGGATTACACATGCTCATCTTGTCCTGGATATGACTGAGTACAAGCTAGTTTTTCTCTAGTGACAGTTCAAAAAACCCTCAAGATTATGTTTCTCTTCCTTGTTGCTTTTTTGCCATTGGTTTTTAAAATTGGTTTTGTCAGCCTCTCCGCTCTGCAGCACTGGAACTGTCCTAATGGATACAGATTAAAGACTGAAAACTCTGCTTGTATAGGTAAGTTGCTGACCGTTCACAGATTAAGAAAACTGCATTTGCATTCTCTTAATTGAGCTTCGTAATTTTCAGAGTTTTTTTACAGAATGCTTGTGTGTTGTACTGGCAGAATTGATAAATCAACTTCTTGATATCTTTTACTTCTCATAATGAACAGAACTCATTCTGTTTAGTTTGTTTTTCAGAAATCAGTCGCTTGTCTGTCAGTTTAACTATTAGAAAGCAGAATAAACTTTTATATGATCATTAAGAAATCTGAAGTGTTCCCTAGTTACCAAAATTCCTTGCCATAGCTTTAGTGTCTCTATATTTTCAATACATGTGCACGCACAGATTCTTGCTTCTCTATATGTAAAATTTATGTATAGGTGCATTTTTGTATTTCTATGTGCATATAGAAAGAGTATTTTAATAATTATGTATTAGTATATACTTACATGTGGGCTAGACAACTTTAAAAAATACTCTTTATGTTTATCGGTGCATGTAGATATGTGTGCTTATATTTAATACTACATCTCATAAAATGCATGAATTGCAGGTGTGTTTGATACTGTGCTACTAAAGTCTGGGTGAAATGTATGACATTAATATTAGTATAATCACCTCCAGTGATTAGGAACATGTAAAATGCAGGTTCCTACTCTTTACAAAGTGAAAGAAAAAGACTGACAGAACCCTTCTCCCTACCCTGCTGCCTTGAAGTCCAATATTTTTTTAGAAAGCCAGAGCCAACGAAATTGTGGGCTTTGCAGAGAGATGAGGAAACACTCTGTAAGGATTCAAGCAAACAGTCCTAATACTTGGAGTTAATGCTTTTGCCTTAGACTGCATGGGCTTCAGAGGCTCTGACTCAGTTTTTGACACGATTCCAGTGATTTAAGAACAGGTGCCTCCTCTGTGCATTCTGCCAAGAAATACTATCTTGTAAGCACAAAATAGAAGTATGTATGTTAAATGCTCTCGTATTGAGAGGGGAGGAGCTAGGCAGTTTTTTGTGTACCAATGATAAACCTGACTGAAGACTGAGTCAGAACCTTATCTGAGAGCCAAACACACCTAGGGTATTTCCACACTGATACTTGATTTCAAATGAGAAGCGTACTTCTGAAATGAATCTCCATACTGCCACATCTTACTATGCTTGTCTTCACATTGCGGAGCACTCTCAAAGTGCACAAACTGGATTCCCTTTAGCCCAACCTAAACCAGAGGGTGTCCCCGTAGGAGAGCATCTATCCTCTCCACTGTTGATGGCCATTCAGTCCGTGGAACCAAACTAGACCTGGTTCTCCATAACTTCAACCTGAAATATATGCAGTGTGTATGTCATAACCTCAGCAACTGTTGCACTTTGCACAGCTTCTCCTATAGGTCCACGTTATTTGCTGATATGTTTGTAGCTTCCACTACCCGGTTAGGATGTACATTAGTTATGACTCCTACATTACTGGATTGCCCAATTAAGAGCTCACGTGTAATAGGAGAATCCTACTGACATGAAGGGAATTGCTTGGCTATTATTTAATGAGTCACAATACACTCTAAATATTGACATTCAAAAGGCTGCAAAGATGTATTTTTTATATCAGTTGACATATTTCACATATCGATGTACATTGCTTTTCCATTAATGGAGACATAACCTGCCCTGCATTATGTCTTTTCTGTTGAAAATTAGATACATTCAGCTGCTGTATGAACGGGGGGACTCTAGGTGAAACACCAAAACAGAATGGCCAGTAGGTCAGCAAACTCTGCAAGAAGTAGTAATAGAAGTCTTTTGCATAAGAGCTAACATTACTATGACATACTCTGAGCAATTCGGTGTAACAAAGACTAAATTAAAAATAAGATGTGCTAGAGTATCTTTTTAATTAGAGACCACTGGATTATGGAGGATTAAGCAAAGGTGAAATTTTGATATGAAATGTAAGACTGAAGGATGCTTTCTTTGGTGGAATGGATTTCCCCTGTTCTTTCCTCTGTGTGCTGGATACCCAAGTCGTGTTCTGACCAGAAGACCGGACGTATGACATTCTAGTTTGTTAATTATGTCAGATAGAGGGTGTAGCGGCAGCAAGTGGTAGGAAGCTGGAGGCAGGCTTTGAAGGTAACAGTGGGGATAAAAGGGGTGAGTGGGAGACATGACTCATACCACTGAACTGTGAACAATGACCGCAAGCTGAACTGTGGCTTGGCGACCAGTCTTGGTGAGCTGTAATAAATATACCAATTGTCAAATATTCTTTATCGTCTGTGACCGTGGTGGCATCCTGCCAGCCACAAGGACTACCCCGCATTGAGAAGGTGTCTGCTCGCTGTTAGTGAACTGTTACAAGCGACACTTACTGGAAAGTGTGTAGGCTTTTCTAGATTTGTTTTCCATACTGCCACTACAGATGAAAGTCTGGGTCATGCTCTTCTTACATTGCTAAATAGCTCGCTTCTTAATTAGTTCCTTTAATTTCCAGGGATATTCAAAGATCAAAGACCTTCTCATCCTGTGGAAGTATAATGAAATCTAACCCTAAATATCTCACATAATTTTATACAGTTATTTTAAGAGAGATTATTTGAATCCTGACTTGGTATGCCAAGAGAGAACTCCTTCAGAGGGGCCCTGTGTCCCACAGCAGCAAGGTTTATAGGAGAGAAAGTATGGGAGAACAAATCATGGTCAGAACAAGACTAGCCTGGTGAATGAATGTATCAATTTATCTGCAAGTTATGGTAGTACTGCAAGCATTTCTGCAATTTTTGACATTGCCATCTTGATTTGATAATTTGTTTTAAGCTGATGTCAGGACTGGGGACTCAGTTACCTTTAAATAACTCATTTTTCTTACACCCCAGTGAAAACATAGAACCTTCTGTCTCTAAAGAAAAGTGGTCTGGGCTACACAGGAGTTATTATTCCTACAAGGTAAACACATGCACAAAGTTGGTCCTGGGAGAGCTTTGATTTCTAACATATTTGACCATGCTGGCGTACATGGTACACCAGGGGCTGTGCCTGTTGGAATCAGTTGCCTGTGCCCTCCTGAAGTACTGCTTTAACAACGCTGTTTTTCATTGTTTCATGGTGTATAGATGCTTTCCCCACTGGAGACCAAAAAGTTTCCTACGTGGCACATCTGAAGAAGCCCCTAGAGCAGCACCTTGCATTATCAATTTTAGACTAGATACTACTGCTTCTTAGTCTTGGACTACCCTAGGTAAATGCGTTATGTTCTGGATGCTGCAAGACTGGAGGTATACTTTGTGCTTCAGGGCTGACTTTGAAGACTCACTTTGTAAGTTTTAAAAGTGAAGGAAGATAGTTATTTAAAAAAACCAACAACAATATTGTAAAAATTTTTTGAAGAAGACAAAACACAGCCCACATTATTGAAGATTTACCTAATCATAGGTTCTTAAATTCTGTATGTCTCTACTAACTTCTGATACTAACTGATCACAGACCTTGTCACTTCTTCAGGGCTAACATGCTGCGCATTCCTACAGAGCTACAGCCTGCAATTGAAGGTGACAACTGCAGCTATCTGGGTCAGCTTTTTTGGTCAGATGCTTCTTTCTGTGTCTGAAGCTTTCCTCCACTCTTTCTTACTGTTCACCATTCTTCTGCCATGGCGCACTGGTGATGTGGAATATTAAGTTATTCCTCTTCGCATTACAGCTTTAAATTCACCTTGCTCAGCTAAATCCTGGCTTCTGTACAGCCTTTTGAAGACACACTATTAAAACTTCTTATCTCATAAGAAAGAGCAATATTAAATGCCAAAACTTTACTAATTCACAGCCATCCTTTCTTTGCAAACATCGGGTAAGGAGCAGTGAGAGCCAATGACATGGAGAACTGTGTTGTCTACCCCTGTCATGACAGGGATAAACTTGTTGAGACCCCACTGTATCCCTCTGTATTTCCGAAGAGCTGCAGTCGAGGCATGCTTGTTTGCTTATTTTCGGTAGCTGTCTTCCAGCTAGCTCACTTCATATTATACTGCCTTGGGGAAAGAGGCTTGAAAATATTGTTACCAAATGGAGGAATTCTTGAGCATGGGTCTGAACCCACAGACCAATTCATGAGAAGATTCCCATTGAATTTTCTGGAAATTGGATCCAGCTGAATGTGAACAAATACTATCTTTAGCTGTAAAAACTTAGATCAAAATAGGAAGGAGGCAAATATGTTACAAGAAATGACAGAAATGCCGTCACACGTCACATGGAGCTTAATCCTGAAGAGGCCTAAGGGGCAGACTCCAGGACCAACGATTAATACTGCAAGGCTCATCGTTTTGCACAGTGGAGAATAGCAGATATTAATTTTGTGATCTGTTTTAAACAAAACTGACTACTTTCTAGTATCTAATTTGAAACCTGATTTTAAAGGGACCTGCATGACGGTATTTGCTGATGCCTTTCAAAGAGGGCCAGATGATAGCCTCAGGAACTTCAGCTTTGAAAAGCAAGCCAATAGCACTGTATTGAAAGTTGCATGATCTGGGAAGTGGAGGTCCATTTTGTAGTTACTAATTTACACATAGAATTTATTTCACAGACAAAACCAAAATATATTTTTATTCATTCTAGTGCCCAAACCTTTGAGATCTGAGTCCAGAAAGTAAAGAAAATGTAGCCCTTTGAGATCCAGGAGTTGATAACTACCTTATTGTATTCAGATTGTGTTTCTTACCATAGTATTTGAGCACTTCACAGCCTCTATCTTCTCAAAAATTGTGAGTGATCAGGTTGTACTTTAAGCCTCATTTAAAATTAGAGAAGGAAGATTCTGAGCTGTGTCTCGTCTGTTTTATTGTGACCTGCTGATGGAGCACCTTTTTCTGTTTCTGGCTATCTTCAGTTTTTTGAGCTGTATGCTTTTAACAAAATAGATAAAAGGCACGGGCTCTTTTCTTCGTAACACAGATGAACTTTCTTGTTCAATCTTGTTGAAAAGATTATAGTGGTGGCTAGATATAGCAGATTGGATTAATCTCCAGTCCAACTCCACAGGAACCGAGTTTGACTGAGGTTATTTGAGTGTGTGTATCTGCACATATATATTTTACGTATATAATGTATGTATTTGGGACCCTAACAAAATGCAAGTTTTGGCTCACTGTGGTTTCTCTGTATCCCTGTCAGGCATACTAATGCTCCACCTTCTGCAATCAGAGCGTTTCTCAGGACTCTCAATAAAGTAGCATATTTGTATGCAAAGTCATTGAGAGCTGCCAACATCATGATGACATGATTCATCGTTTTTGCTGATTCTCAAGGCATTTTTTGCATAAAGAAGCCTTTGAGAACTGACCAGAACCTCATTCTTCCTTTCAGGGCTGGCTGTCAGGCCACTGCAGACAGCTTTTGTGTTCACTAAGCTGATTTCTTTCACAGTGTAAAGTTCCCACTGGGGGAAGCGGTTGCCAGGAGACGTAAAACAGCTACAGCAGGATGCGGCCCTGCGCTTTGCTTTGGCGCTAAGAGTGCAGGTGAAGGCACCGCTACTTACACCTGATGGATGGTTTTATGATCGAGTTTTCCTAAACCTTAAGAAACAGCTTTTTAATTTTTGTTTTCTTCTTTTGGGTTTGGGGTTTTTTTTGGTACTTTAAGCAAACAAGAGAGCATGTTAGGCGTAGGACCCTCTTCCATTGTTAGTGCCGAAAAAGCTGAACGTTCTCAACGCTGTGGTGTGTTTTACAATAGCGCTGTGTCTGTTGGTGCTTCCTGTTTGCCGCTGGAAGGGGCACTCTCCAGTGGCCCAGCCGCCTGTCGCCGCTGTGCCCCTCGTCTTTTATGGGGCCGTTATTCCTCCACTATAGCCTTTCTTCAGCTGAGGCAATTGCTTGCTTTTCAGTATGTGTGGGATTACGCTTTTATTATGTGAACTTTGGTGGAGATGAAAATGGGCAGATTGATAACCCTGAAATCCTCTCTTCAAGTACAATTACTGGGGAGGCAGTGTAAATTCTTGTAGCCTGATCAATCAGCGTGCTCTTTCTTGGAGAGTCAGTTTTGTACACTCATATAAAGCTAGAAAATCCATCCTGTAAATAACAGGTCATTGTCCAGTTACCGTGGTACGTAGCTCAGTCACCTGTGCTAAATTAAAGCATGTCTTCCCAGTCTGATCTTGACCTGATAATATCTACTGATATCTTTCAAACCTCCACAGTTTTTCTTGGTAGCTAGTTCCCTTAGTGAATCACACTTCCTGTTAAAATGTGAATTTAATTTTATTTCCCTGGCTCAGTTCCCAGCCATCAGTCCTTGTTAAATCTTTTCTGCAAAAGATTATAGTCTCCTTTAGAAAATCTGGTACTTTTTCTTTGTGAAGGTATTTATATACTGTGATCAATCCTTCCCCCAAGCTTCTTTCTGATAATCTGAGCAGACTGAGCTCTTTAAGTGCCTCATGGAAAGGCACTTTACTTACCCTCAAATCAGGCTTTTTATCCTTGTTGTATACACTTTCTAATTTTTCAGGGTCCTTTAACAACCTATATCTGAGAAATACAAACAGCATGCCAATGTAGTCAGACCAGTGCCATATACAGAAGTAAAATTATTTCCCCACTGTGATTCATTTCTCCTGTCTTGGTATGTATTGTGATTTGAAATTTCTTTCTGACATGCTAAGAGATCAGCTTTCCATTCAATATGAACACAAATCCTTTTCAGAGTAAGCAGTCTTGCAGATACAATCTGTAGGTCAGGCCTATCTTTCTTATTCTTATTTAATGTGCTCTTTCTTGTGATTGAATAACAGTTCTTTCACCAGTGTTTCACATTGCTTAGTCACATGACCTCTGTCTTTAGCAGTCTTAAGTCTACACAGTTGCCTTTATTACCCAGGCCTGTGATTTCCTCAGAGAAATAACACCAGGTTTATTTAACAAGCCACTATTGTCATAAAAGTGTATTGACTAACATGAACTACATTACAGCTGTTATCAACAGTCTTGCACCTGCTTTCATATTGGTGACTAGATCAGAGTAACTGTCTGGTTTAGGCAGCCAGTTACCCCAGTTGAAAACCAGTGCCTTGGGGAGAGATACAGACAGTGTTCATGCCTGTCGACTCCTTCGCATCTCTGCTAACACTGAGAGCAGCTGTGACAATGAGCTGAGGTCACCAAAGCCCTCCCGTGTAGGTTATCGAAGAGCCCTTTATTTTTAATGACATGCAGGCAATATTATCCAGGAGTAGCTAGTTTCAAACTGGCAGCCTGGAGCTCACGGTTTCTGTAGCCCACCAACAAACTTCTAAGCCAGTCAAACCTTTCTAGAGGGGATTTGGAGGAGTCACTCCTTTAATGCTGTGGCAAATGGCACGTACATCCCTAGTACCTGTGGGAAAATATGCTCCTGAAAGCTGATTGAAGAAGATTGTGGGTTAGAATTAGAGTCCTTCATGGAATTAAGTTGCTGAAAATGCTTCTGCTTACCTTCGTAATCTGTTCAACAGAAATCAGTTGCATGTGCTCTGATTATGTTTCATACATTGAAACTCCTAATTCATCTGCTGTGTGGAACAACATTGTGGGAAAACTCTGAAAACAATATGGAAACATTCCCTAGTCTGTACAGACATGTTAGGTGGCTGTAAAGCATTGACGTTCTTTTTGAACAACTTTGCTACCTGACACAGAAGAAACTCCTAAACACTTCTGCTGCATGTAGTTGTTCAAAGCAGTTGTAGACAGTTTCCCAGACCCGTGGAATATCAGAGATCTGGTTGCTTCGCTCTCCCCAGGTTGCTTACAGGGAAAGTTTCTTTCAAAGTGCTGGTGTGAGTTGGTTAAATTGCAGTTCCTTGTAGTTATCATAAGCTGCCATTTCTGACCTTTGAACCAGGGGAATCCTCATCTAACACACACAGGCCTCCTGAAGCACTGTTGATAATTTGCACTTGATTCAAATGATCGTCTAAGATAAGTTATCCAATGAGAAGCTCTTCTTCCATTGCCGTAAATTCTTGATCAGGAATACAGAAAAAAAAAATAGTTGTCAGCTATACTTGGAATAACTCAATACATATATGTAGTTTTGGTTATGAATCTATCTCCTTTAGTGATTTCATCAAATGTGTCTCTTCAAAATAATTTGTGTTGATTCCTTTTTTCCCTGCGTGTGTAAAGTCAGATGATAAATCCCAGAACAAAAGCCACTGACATCAAATAGATCTTGGGCAGGGAAAAAGCTGCTCCTTAGAACAACCCTCACAGTGGTTATGCCAGAAATATACCAGGATCTGGTACTGCCAGATGTCAAACACCTTGGGAAGTTACTATCAGATGCATTTGTTTTCAGTAGGAACTGAAGTTTATCTGAATTTTTGAGGACATCCATGGGACATCATCCACGGTACTGACAAAGGGGTTAATTTCTTTCCCCCTTAGTGTAAAATATGGTCCTCAGCGGTGACCTTTATTGAAAAAATAAAGTCCTTAATATAGGACTTAATAGTTACTGCCTCAGGCACCATAAATCCATCAAATGTCTTTTAATTCTTAAAGGCTGTAGCCTAATCTACCAGTTAAAAGCCAAGTTCTAATTAGTTTGCTTGCTGAATTGGTTTGCGATTTGCTTGTTGGTGTCAGAATATAGTGGGTATTTTAGTGTTTTGTATGTATTTTTGAGAGTTGACTCAAACCCAAATGAGCTCAATGTGGAACTCAGTGCTGTGGTAGTCTGCTGCTTTGCTGTTTTGCAAAGTTTGTTAATTTGTTGGCAAAGTTATTACTGTGGAAGCAGCTGCAGGCAGCATTTGCATAGCAAATGACAATGCAAATCACAGAAATGGAGTACAAGACAAGTCTGTTCTCTGTGTTTGGGCAGAGACCAGAGTGCCCAGACGCTAGGGAGAATGGTAATTTCCCTAGACTGTCTTCTGAAAAAAAATAAAGTAAATCACTGTGCATGTGACAATGGACAAAACAATAATTCTGAAACCAATGCATGAAGCAATACAGCCATCCTCCTCTCCTTTTTTTATTGATGGGATATTAAATTGTGTGACCAATTTATCATCGGATAACTATGTCAAGGGTATTCTTTCTCTTTGCTGCTTTTGCTATCTGAATTTTCCTGATCTGTTCAAAAACCCATTTCAGATATTGATGAATGCCTTGAAGGTGGTTTGGGAACTTGTGGCCAAACCTGTATCAATGTTCCAGGGTCCTACATCTGCTCCTGTTTGCCCGGCTACACTTTGGATATTGACCAATGGTCTTGCTATGTGAACGGTAAGGTCATTTTCTTTTTTGATGACTAAAAAAGAGCTTTAGAGATTTAGTTAGAATTATTTTTCAAAGTGAACCATGCCTGTCTGGTCCCTACTGGACAGCGACTGGGGTGCTCTGGTTCCCAGATGGAAAAACTGCCTCTTGTACTGTGTGGGTAATGGAAAGTATGGTGGTGGGAAGATGAAAGAACATAAAAACAAACAAATAAAACTAACCAATGACTTCCTGTTTAGTAGACATACTGCCTCTGTGTGCTTGGAACTGCAAACTCTCTTATCCCGTCCTTACTATTTCCAGGAAAACACAGCAGTGCACAAGATTTTGCTAACTTTGCCTCTTTTGGTGTGTTGGCGTTAATGTCTTTCCAGTCTATTTAGGTTTCAAGGACAGTGCTGTGAAATCATAAGCAGGAGGTTCTTATTTTTGGTTTGGTCCATCGGCAGTTTCTTAATAAATATGAGTGCTACTGTGAGTTCTTTCTCTCCCTTGCTCTGTCCTGAGTGTATAAATTGATCTTTGAATGTGTAAGGTGCAATTCAATTTTAAAAGTTTTTGGCCCTTCTAAGAGGAAAATATTCGCACTTTTGGCCTTTGAATAACCTTCATTTGTCCTCAACTGATGTTACCTAGGGAAAAAAATCTATTTGGATTTTATTGATTGGGTTAACCCTATATTTCATCTAGAGTACGAGGTGGGAGTGCTCTGAAGTTCACCTCTCACCTCTCCACCTTGGTTTCCTGAATGTCTGGTTTTGGTTCCTGTCTGGGATATGCTGCAGCTCCCTTCTGATCCAGGAGCTCAGGTTTTCTTTTTCTGACTAATGTTTGCCTGGGAAACTTGTTAATGCAGAGATGGGATGTGACAGGGCATGTTTCCGACCCAAGAAGTAGGAGATGTACTGGAGTCCCTGTGCATGTAGCCTTTGGGACCATGAACATAACCAAAAGTATTCTGTGCAGCTCTCAAATTGGTACTGACATGATTACTTCAGTCAACTAGAATCATCATTACTGACAGCAACACGTGACTCACAAATACCCAAGCTGGATTTTTTGTACTCCTGCCTAAACCTAAACATCTCTTGCCCCTTAAATGGAATTTTTAATTTTTTTTTAATCAATTGTTTTGTAAACTCTTCACTTCTGAACTGAAGAGAAGAGAAAATAAATATGTTACCACACTGTGATATATGTGCGCAGGTATCTCTCAAAGCACAATACTACCTTAATATTGAAGGACTTCAACTTTTTTAACATTATTACTAACATTTATAGCACCAGTAGAAAATAAGTGATGGCTCAAGAGCTGCTGTGATGGATAAGGAGCCCTTATGCTAGGTATAAACCCTTCTGTAGGGGGTATACCAAGTGAAATACCCTCATGTTTTAAAGACAGGAAACTCTTTGATGCAGGTTTTTTTTACTGGTTCATTAAAACCCTGATAAAATTAAGTTCCAAATCTGGCTGGTGCCCCTGCAATCAAAGTTAGATATTTTTCGGCCCCTGTTCCATTTAAAGCTCTCATTCATGGGCACCTGATAGGAAACTCAGAGAGTAGAAAGGACAAAAACAAAGTATTTAAATGCTCTTGGCCAAGTAGTTGGCAAAAATGCAGGCAGTACAGCTGTCAAATTCCTGAGATAAATCAACCTTGCTACACTTCACCGTTCATTTACCATTTACGTAAAGCAAGTCTTCATAGTTTAAATATTCTCACATGTGGTTGCTCAGTGCAAATAGCAGCAGAAAAAGGGAGTCACTAAAATCTCAGAAGCAGCTGTTATAACAGGGTGATAGCTTAAAAACTTGAGATACAAACCAGTCTGTTAGGATGCAAACAGCGTACTGATAATCTCCCTTGTGAACAGAAGAACATTAAATCTTTGGTCCTTGCCAGAACGTTCTGCCTAGCTTGCTCTTCACTTAGAGAAATCAAAATTGGGCTCATTCCTCTGCTGTGAAAGGGGTTGACTCAAAACAAGCTTGCAACCATGAAGAAGGTGGACCATCTGGCTAAAATTTGTAGAAGTGTTGTCCGTTGAGTTTAAAGCCTCAGGTTCCATGCTAATAGTAAAGATATTTAGTTAAAAGGTTGCAAAACTGTTCAATAAAACCAGCTTCATTTTCAAAAGTTTATGTGCAAGAAAACTGCTGATAGTGCATCTTTGATGATATCCATCCCTGATAAATGGACAGTTGCTCTGCATTGCAGGAAGATCAGTTCATCAAGTCATGAGACAGGCTTGAAATCTGTCATTCTGTCGGACCTATATCAATAATTGCATTTCAAAGTCACTTGGTTAGAGCATTACTTGTATGCCATGATCTGTTTTTCAGACAACCATGTTAGACACCCCCACCATTACCACCATAATGAACGTTCTTCTTTGAATGTTGTTTTAGTGGTAAATTAAAGACTAAGCTGTATAAATTTCTATTATTTTGTTTAATAAGAAAAAAAAAAATTAAAATTAAGTCTAAAATGAGACTGATTATGTAAAAACTCCTTTCCTCTGCTACACTCTTGATAGACATCCATAATATTCAAATTGCCTAAATGAAAACCATTGTGGTTTGGAAATGCAGTTAAGGTTCCTTAGGCAATCTTAACCCTGCCTTATGGTGATACCCTAAAAATAGCAAAGAGGACTTGATAAAACTGGGTTAGTGTAATCTGCAGTCCCAACCATTATGTCCTATTAATTGTACTTCCATACTTACCACAGTATCATGGTTTTAAGGTTGCATGAAGGCTATTTGGACCATCCTAGTTGCTTATCACTTTCAACCTTAATTGGATTTCTAGAGTTTGGGGCACAATTGGAATGTCTTTCATTTGAACATATTTTATGTTAAATCACTGATATGCTCTTACACTTCACTCAGTATGAATACAGTTTTTGTTCTGGAAGGAGTTGTTGTTGTTGTTGAGCTGGAGGAGTTTTACAGGTCTTTTGGTTTCTTTCAGCCCTCAGCATCACAAGAAACCTCCACAGTCTCTAGCTTCTTCCTTTGCCCTGTCTTGGGATCTTCAATTTCCCTGTTTGGATAGTTAAAGTGAGACTCCAGACTGCCTCTCTGATAAATTCTTGCTATAATGCCATAATTGGAAACGGTCTTCACCTTGGAGACTCATCCATGGCATAATTCTTCCAACCTCTGTTGGCATGCATGCAATGGTTCTTCTAAACTCTGATTAGGCTTTAGGATTTGGGATTAGTGGTAACAACCACTGCAGTAGCAGTTTCATGACTCAGATTTCTTTACCTAATTTTCAGCATTAAACATGAAAGGACTGTTACGTTTATAGCTTATAGGTTCTCTGTGATATGCCTGGAAATTTATCATTAAAGTACAAGAGAGATGGTTAGATCCTGAACTTTCTCTTTGACTAATATAACACTGATGAGAACTTAATGCAGCAAAAGTGCAATGCTTATCTATTAATTGGTCTCTTTGTGTTTTTTTCCACACCAGACCCTACACCATTCCTCCTTTTTAGCCATGGGAATGCCATCTTTAGAATGGACATTGAAGGGACCAATCATGAAAGATTGGTGGCTGATACTGGGCAGTCAACACTTATGGATTTTCATTATACAGAAGAGAAAGTGTATTGGGTAGACTCTGAAAGACGACTACTTCAGAGAATTCACCTGAATGGCACAAAACGAGAGGTAAAGTACTCAGTTCTCTGGAATTCTCCAAGTTAATGGGCATAAAACCCTCTAGGGAAACCACCTGCTCTGTAGGTACAATTGTGCCGTTCCTGTTCATTGATAGCACTTCAGAGTTATTAAATAGATTTTGCTATCATAATAGTTATCATCCTGAGTCTAGGCTGTTATACTGGCATTCACAGTAGATTTAGTATTTTCTGTGAAAAGTGAAGGGGAGTTAAAAATGAAGGAGAGGAAATTCAAACAAACTAAAGCTTTGAAGACAATAATGTTTTTATCAGTTGTAAATTAATCCCTGGCATTATGGTAGTTTGTCTTCCAGATTACTGTAACTCAAACTGGCACAAATGGTATGAGAAGAATGTGCCTGAATTCCTACTCATTTTTTCTCAAACCTTTTATTGGTTTCTATGGTTGCATAAATGCTTCTTTTAGCACTTCATCCTTTGTTCAGAAAAAAGCTGTGCAGTTCATTGCGTCTGGCTGATTAAGAAGGGCAGACAGGCTGTTGTGCCTGAACTTCAATGCTGTGAGAGCCTTCTTTTGTTTGAGAGAGATTTCCAGTGTTCCTGTAGCCATGTGGAGTCTTCACTGATGTATTTTACGCTGATTGTTAAGGATCAGGGTCCAGCAACAGCGGGTTAGGAAGTCTTCCATCTGTAACAGTACAGGTCTGAGTGCTTCATAGTGTGCCAAATGCAAGAAGTTGTAGCAAAAAGACTAGTCCACTGTATCTCTCGTGGAGAAGAGTTTCCCCTTTCACAGGGGGTCACTCAATTCAGAAAAGATATGTGTAAGTACAAAGACCAAATGAAAGTGATTAAAGAATAAGAAAGAGAAATATCAACAGGTCTGAGAGAAAATGAAGTACGCAAATGAATGAAATGGGAAACTTCAGTGTGGCACTCTATCGCCTATATTGAAAGTCAATTTTAGGGTAATCATTAGGATGCTTCTTGTTGTCAACTTTTTTTTGTTTGTTTGTTTGTTTACAGAGACTGTGTTACATAGACAAAGGCATTTCAGGATTTGCTATTGACTGGATAAATCAAGACATTCTCTGGGCCAATAGACAGAAAGCAACCATAGAAGCAACAGACATGAATGGGAAGAAACGACGAGTTCTTCTAAGAGATGTTGGTCGTCCCACACAGATTACCATTGACGCTGAGCAAAGGTAATTTTAACTAGGTTAGTGATTTCATTGAAATGGACTCAAAATACGCAAAGTACTATGATTATGGTCTATAGGCTGCTGGGCTAGTCTGTGCACAGTGTATTATCTATAGTCCAATACCTCCTTGAACTTTGACAAAAGAGGATAAAGGATTAGTAGGCACATAAGAGATAAATAGAGAAGTGCTTGAGAAAAGCCCACTGAAGTCTAATGCAAAATCTATACCTCTTTGTCATGAGGGAAAATTCTGCTAGTGAGGAGAGCTGAGGGAAGAAGAGGCATTGCTGATCCTGTCTCAAAGACAGCAAAATTTCAGAAAGCAGCATTGGAACAGCAAGGGGAATGGTGCCTGCAGATGCTGGGAGTCCCTTGTGCTCCAAACCTGGCACACTTAGAATATAAATTGGTATGTTTTCTGAAAAAAGGTCTAAACTTAACAGTTTTGCTCCTGTTTCCCTTGTCTCTGACAGTTGCTCTGATTATTGGTTCTGAATCTACTATTGCTACTTTGTGTCACTAGTGATTTGGTCTTCATAAAGATACTTCTTTCAGCTTCAAGCCGTTTACCCTGAGAACCATGCCTGCACAAGAGATTTGGCCTCCTCAAGAGTTATCAACATGAATTGTCACAGTGGTGTCTCCATGCTGATTTCTCTTTGCACATAAACCTCTTCCATCAAAGTTGCAAAAATAAAAGCTTGATGAGACTTTGAGATGCTTCTGTTTCGTACAGCAAAAGCAGGGGTTTTTTGCCACTTTTGATTTGCAGTAAAGTTGCTCAGCAGCGTGTGAAAGTATTTTAATATTAAGGCTTATGTGTCCTTTCCTAGTATGTTTATACATAAGCCAATCTTCTGATGTTAATAGCATTACTAGTATTCTTTGGAGTCTTGTCATTTGGGTAGGATTGAAAGGCCTGAATATCAGCCCATATATTTTATTTTTTTTCTGATTTGCTTTTGAATATAGTATTTACCAATCCTGGAAATACTCACAAGTCCTCAAACTGTCAAATGCCATCAAAACACATGTTACAAATGGCATTATAGGGACATATTTGCTGAACTTACGCGAAAGTTTGGGGAGACTCAAGCACGCGTATTCACCTAGGTGTCATTCACCATGCGTAAAAGCTGTACTCATGCTGATAGGGAGGCCAGTAAGCCAGTAATAAACTGTAAAGAAAGTAGAGTTCAAGAAGTAGAACATAATTTTTATACCCTATGGAAATTTTCTTGTATGAAAACTCTGAGGTCTTTATCTTTAATGTGAAGTGAATTAAAACCTCAGTATGTTTACGTGCACAGGCATAAACATCAACGAAATCTGATGTGAACATCTTCCTTCAAAAGTGTGCAACTCCTAAGTAATTAAGGTCAATGTGATACCCTAATAATAGAGGTTTTTCTCAGAAGAGGTGTCAGGTTATTAGCAGTGATAGGATTATTTTAGTGGTACTAATATAACTATTGCTGTGAGATTGATTTAATTGTTAATGGTGTTTAGAAATGCCAAAAAATAAGGATTAAGACCAAAGAAAAATAGAGAGCAAATACAGTAAAGGCTGGCGATTACTCAAGCCGGTTTCTAATCTTCGTGCTGTCTTCCTATTTGTTCATATCACATGCCGTTCCTACCCTGATTTTCAAAAGTTGGGCATAGGCACTATAACCATCTTTATTTCTTAGTTTCCTTGTCTGTAAAAGGTGCTCTAGAAATGCAAGCAGATATGAATAAAGTGCTTAAAAATAGCTGTATAAAATGGGGCTGTCCTTCTGGAAATGTTTTCACCTATACATTAATAACCTATGATAACTGTGGACTCTCTAACAGTGAGGAAAAGCCATGAGGCAAGGACTGATTATTCCTGCTTGTTTAGAATGATCCCTTGCCAGTGAGATCTGATCCATTTTGGGGCCTTTAAAAAAATGATTAACATAAACATAGTAAAGCTGTCTTTATGCTGCATCGTTTTGTAAATATAAATACTCCAATCTTATGAAGACAAGGTGAGTGATGATGCTCCTTGGAATTTTTGTGCATAAGGAACACAAACAAAGAATCTAAACCCAAACATTAAAAAATAAAATATACACGAATGAGGGATAACTTGCTATTTTAGAGGAACTGTTGTTAACCTTAGTCACATCGGCAAATCTGGGTTCTGATCCATGAATAACTTGACATATAAGTAGCTTTAGTGCATAACTGTTTTGAGCATTGGAGCTGCATTTTGACTGTGTCTTAATTTAACAGCAGCATAGTCTGGCTGCTATAACCAGCAGGAAGGTAGAAAAAAATAAGAACAATAATAGAAATGGTATTTTTAAGTTAAGCACTTAAGTGATGTGTTCAACTAGAGTTTCTGGAGATAGATTCCTTCCCAGAGGCAGAGGGCAATGCGTGGCTGCCTCAGAGATGTGCCTTTCCCCAGGTTTGCAGCAGTTATCCATAGAGTTGAGAGATTATTCCAGTTTCCTTCTCTGACTGCATGGCCGAACAAAGCAGAGACACAGACAATAGTGCTTCGTGGTTAAGCTGGGCTGATTCCTGCTTGACCTACATGAGAGAAATTTCTTATATGTCATTGCTTCCTGAACAGACCCATACAGTCTCTGACAGAAACATATTTATAAAAATATGAAAACAACTGTAACAAAACTTTAGTGGTAACATTGCTTCTGTTAAACAGACAATGCTTTGTTGTCATTTCCATTCTTAATAGAGCTATGTTAAGGGGAGATGAGATGCATATGGGGCTTTCTTGAAATAGGGGAGTACGTATTAAGGAAGTCCTTTGCTTTATTACTAGTTTTGCTTCTCAAAGCACTGCGGTAAGACTGAAAAATTCTGTATACAGGAGCAACTAAACAAGGAGTGTGTAGCAGTGATGTGATCTTGCAAACGTGAGGTTTGGGTGTTTTGTTTGGTTTTGGGTTTTTTTTCAAAACATGCCTCTCTTGTCTGCAGGCTGTTATTTTGGTCTTCAGATGGTACAGTTTCCAGCATACACCGGGTGTCCCTTAGTGGAAGTGATGTGAGAAATGTTTTAAGAACCACAGAAAAAATAAAGGCCATCTCACTAGATTTGGTTGACACAAGGCTCTACTGGATCCAACACGACCATGGGAAAGAGATTTCCCATATTGCATCGTGTGACTATGATGGCAGAGCTGTTCGTTTGCTCAAAAATTCTGTCCGGTGAGTTTTCCTGAGCTTGTCAGAAATAAAACACTCATTTCCCAGAGATGCAGTTAAACTCTCTTCCTTATTCTCCCTTTTATTTTGTCAGTTCATAACACAATAAGGAGTATAAAGTATAGTGCAAATGGCCTGTAACTGTAAATCTAATACTACTGATGGAAAATGGAGAAAAGTGACTGTTGTAAGGATAATACTGCCACTCAGTACTCTCCATCTTCCAAGCTTTTAGCAAATGATAACTACTTAATCCTTAGAAATCCTCTCTGAGTGTTTATTAGTGGCCTTTTTCTGCAGATAGAGAAGCCAAAAGCAAAGAGATTAAATGATTTGTCCAAGGTCACAGTGGGTGAGCTCAGGTGTCTGAGCTGTGCTCAAGAGACTGAGCTAGATCAGGTCTTTCCTATCCTCCTCTAAGCCTGTTGTCCTCCTTAGCTGCTGGGCAGGGAGGCTCGGATAACCCCCTGTACTCAGGCTCTCCAGAAAGCATCAGCAGATGTGTTGAAAACTGTCCCGTGCAGCAGTCTTGTTCCCCTCTCCTCCCCGGTGCTGGGGCCAAGTGTGGCTGAGGGGTCTGTTAGACCCAAGTGCTTTTTCATACCTTTAATATTTGGCCTTCATGCCTTGCAGTGGTACAGGTGCTCCACGGTGGACATGTTTTCAGTGAGGTACTCAGGAAAATGTTACCCTATATCACTGCAGATTCTGTCAGTATGGCTGGATAGGCATATGCATAATAGGGGTTGCCGACAGCAAAACGGGAAAAATCCATGGTTTTGCTGGCCTGCTGATTTAAATATGCAGCACACCATTTGCATATTATGAACACAAAGCTGGTTTCTCCCTACATTGTCAGTTGTCACACTGGATTTTTCCTTACACTTTTCCCCGTTCTCCCTCAAGTTGGCTGGTGTTCACTAGGGCATCAACATTTTCACTTTGAGTATTCTCCTTTTTCCACCTGGAATATATACTGGAAAATGGAGGCCAAAAGTCCCTCTTTCAGTATCTTTCTGCTTTCCCTCTTGTTTAAAACTGGGGCCTTTTGTGGTTCCTGCTGGCTGCTGTAATTGACCAGCAAATGGAAACTAAATTCTTGTGATAGCAAAAGCAGCAAGATGGATTTTAGGAATGCCCTACTCCTACCTCTCTGTCTCCACCCTGATTTCCTGGGACAGTGAGAAGTGTCAGAGCAGGCACTGGAAAATGGGAAACGGAGGAACTTTTCTGGCCTGCATCCTTTAACAAAGCAAGTATCCTTTTTAGTTGCTGGTTTCACCAGAAGCAGGTTGATACCTAGGCTTTCTCCATCGAATGAGTCAGTTCTGAGCAACAGCTCATACAGCCTGTGATAAATGCAGGATATCCACTTTGCATCTATTTCTTGCAAATCTGCAGGATTCTAGATGCTGGAGTATTTGGGAATGTCTCTGGCACCTCATCTGATTCTCATATATATAAGATAATATAAGATATATATAAGAATACAAAAAAAAAAAGTTATTTACAGTAAACTTGGCTGAACTAGATGCCCAGAAAACATATGAGTAATGTAATGTGATGGATCAGGTAATGTGATGCTTTGTGTTATCTTCTCTTTTTTGTAGACATCAATTGCTTGGTATGTCTCTCTTTGCTGAGCACTTGTACTATTCAGAGTTGAAATCTGGTATGATATGGAGAGCTAACAAGTATACTGGAAAAGTTCTAGTCACAATTAGCCTGAAGCCATCATTTTTTCCACCAGCAGAGATAAAATTGGTGCATCCATTTAAACAGCCAGGTGCAAGAACAGATTCTCAGGATTTTGGTAAGTAAACTGTAATGATACAGTTGTATGTGTGAGAATAATAATGTCATACACTCTGATTAGTCACAGTAATAATTTTCTTTGGCAAAATTCCAGGCCTCAGTGAAATTAAGGAAAAAGTTTCATTTAACTTCAGTGACTCACAGTTCCACTGTGTGTGTGCAACTCCAGCTGGAGTGTCAGGCTGGAAGTACGCTGAGCATGAACTGCTCATTTCATTACTCTGAATGCACACGCAGATAAATGTGATTTTCTCCTTCTCTTCCCTTTGATTACACAAAGATGTTTTTATACTTTCCTGCTAAATGCACAAAGCATACAGCTTTTTAATCCTCCATGCAGATTGCCTTCATCAAATGTCTGCTCCCTTCTGGAAGTTTTATTCTAATGTGTATCTAAACACCTCTGATTATTATTGCACTGAAGGTTTTTCAGTGCATAGTATGTCCTACAAGTGATACTGTGGATGTCTCAGCTTTGCTGTGAAATGGCTGGATTCAGAATCAGCCTGTTTTAGACAGGCTTGAATTTGCCATAATAACTATGAAATAAGAGCCTTGCGTCTCTTTGATATCAATTGCAGCCTACAGTATGAGGTGGTCATGTCACAGCCTTTCACTGTGGATCAGAAAATGAAGGTAGTTGACTACAGATAGCTCACCCTCCTTGAGGATTCCTGATGAGGCAGTAGGAAGTGAGAGATGTCCAGGGGAAATAATGTCTTGTATCCTGATCTCTGGAAAGCAGACATAGAGTATTCTTGCTTTAATGGAATAGCTTTTGTCACCAGTTTTGCTTGGATACGAACAACTGAGCAAACAGCATGGAGGCATTTGTGTGTCAAGCAATGGTTGCAGAACTCCCAAGGGAAGATTGTCAGGGGTTCCCAGAAGTATATGTGGTACAAACATGAGGAGAAAGTAGTGTTTGTTCATATGAGCAAAAATGAAACTGTAAATTGGTGATTGGTGACAGCCAACGTGGCTTCACTAAGGGCAAATAGTGCCTGACAAATTTGGTGGCCTTCTACAATGGACTTAAAGTGTTGATGGACAAGAAAAGAGCAACAGATGTCATCTACCTGGACTTGTGCAAAGCATTTGACACTGTCCCACATGACATCCTTGTCTCTAAATTAGGCAGACATGGATTTGGTGGATGGACCACTTGGTGGATAAGGAATTGGTTGTATGGTCTCACTCAAAGAGTTAGGGTCAACAGCTCAGTATCCAAGTGGTGACCAGTGATGACTGGTGTTCCTCAGGAATTGGTGCTGGGCGTTGGTACTGCTGTTTAACATCTTTGTTGGTGACATGGACAGTGGGATTGAATGCACCCTGAGCAAGTTTGCTGACGACACCAAGCTGTGCAGTGCAGTTGACATGCTGGAGGGAAGGGATGCCGTCCAGAGGGACCTGTACAGGTGGGCCTGTGCAAACCTCATGAAGTTCAACAAGGTCAAGTGCAAGGTCCTGCACGTGGGCTGGGGCAAGCCCAAACACAAATACAGGCTGGGCAGAGAATGGATTGAGAGCAGCCCTGAGGAGAAGGGCTTCGGGGGTGTTGGTTGATGAAAAGCTCAACATGAGCCAGCAATGTGCCAGCCGCATCCTGGGCTGCATCAAAAGAAGCATGACCAGCAGGTCAAGGGAGGTGATTCTGCCCCTCTACTCCACTCTGGTGAGACTCCACTTGGAGTGCTGCATCCAGCTCTGGAGCCCCCAACACAAGAAAGACATGGACCTGTTGGAGCAGGTCCAGAGGAGGGCCACAAAGATGATCAGAGGGCTGGAGCACCTCTCCTCTGAAGACACTCTGAGAGAGTTGGTGTTGTTCAGCCTGGAGAAGAGAAGGCTGTGGGGACACCTTATAGCAGCCTTCCAGTACTTGAAGGGGGCCTACAGGAAAGGTGGGGAGGGACTCTTTATCAGGGAGTGTAGTGATGGGATGAGGGGTAACAGCTTTATACTGAGAAAGGGTAGATTTAGATTAGCTATTAGGAAGAAATTCTTTACTGTGAGGGTGGTGAGACACTGGAACAGGTTGCCCAGGGAAGCTATGGATGCCCCATCCCTGGAGGTGTTCAAGGCCAGGTTGGATGGGGCTTTGAGCAACCTGGTCTAGTGGGAGGTGTCCCTGCCCATGGCAGGGGTTTGGAACTAGATGATCTTCAGGGTCCCTTCCAACTCTAACCATTCTATGATTCTAAATATCTCTCTTGAACCGTTTCTAAATATCTCCTATAAAATAGCCGTTGCCTTTCTTCATGCCAACCAACGGCTTTGTACAGTACCATGCTGTCTGTCCTTCCTGAATCCTGGTCTGAGTGGGAAAATCAAAATCCTCAAGGGAACTTTGCCCTTCAAATGCTTTTTTTGCAGTGCAAAGAGCTGTTGAGGTGCAGAAGAGAAAGTGTTCCGGGATATCAAGCTTATACTTGTAAACAGGGGGAGCCTCCATTCACAGACTATACCTGTTCTGTGCTTTCTTCGAGGAAATGGTCATCTTGGCAAATGGAAGCACCTCTTTCAGCTGAAACGTTTGGTGCTGTCACATGGAGTAACCAGGGAAGGATACATCTGTGGTGCAGGCAGTGGCACGTCTGCACATCTCAGGGTTGTTCCAATGAGATTTGGAAGGTCTCATGAGGCCTTGTTTGGTGTCTGTCACCATGTCTGCATACGCATGAAGATAGTGAGGCAGAAACAGTGACCAAGAAAAGTAGTTCATAGATAGAGGTTCCTTGAACCTCAGAGGGTATTGGTTGTGTTACAGATGTCCTCTCCACAAGAGTGTGTATCATAATTTCATTGACTATGGGCACTTAGCTTTTATTCTTCTCCCAGAAGATTAACTCCATTTCTTCTAACAGAACATGCTGCTTTTTGGTGTTTCTCTTTCCACTGGAAAGAGGGTTCTCCAGTTTTATTAAACTACCAGTGTTTTTAAATGCCTTGCAGTATATACCCCTGTATTTCCAACATGTTTAGTAAATTTTTATATGACAGTAAGTGTTGTCAGCAGTAGGCCTTTTTTTTGCTCCAAATACCTTCTTGTAAAAATGTCTGGGAAATGATGGAGTAGAAAGAAGCTTAATAGGCTGAATCCAGATGAACCTTTTGGACCTTGCATGCACATTGCTTGGTTTATCCAGTGCAAGACCTGGGATGAAAGGAGGACTAATGAGCCTGGAATACAAATGAGATTTATAGCTGATCTTACAACAGAGTAACCTGGAGATAAAAGCATACCTAGACTAATTGGATGCTCTGTACAAGCTAAGAAAGTGTATGTTGCAATGTAGTGTCAGCTGTGAATTGTCAGGCCTTCTTTAAAGCAGATATCAAGTGAGTTCCTTCAGATGAAAAGGGAACTGATGAGAAGGGCTCAACTGACATGATTTGATTTTTTACTGGAATTTGGATTATTTACTTTATTCCTTAAATTCCTCACTTCCCCTCTTTCCTTTCTTTTTCAAAAGACTTCCCTGGGTTCGTCAGTGCTAATAAGTACAGAGAAGAGCATTAATTCATCTACGGGTTTGCTATTACCCCACACAACAACTTTAGTACAGCAGTGTTTGGAAGATGGCCTCTAATTTACCTCAACTCTCTTTGACAGCTAACCCTAGGTTTGATGACAGTATGCATATTTATAAATGCCTGCTGGAATGTTCTTCACACTTTTAATGATGGCTCATAAAATATCTTAATTACTTTAAAATCTTGAAGACTGGCTCTGGAATGTTTTTAAAGTATCTTCTCTTACAGATTAATGATATTCAGTACACAGGATATTTGTGGGGGGGAAGAATTATGTAAGATACCAACGTCAGGCTATTATCTGAGAACCGCCACTTCCATATAAGACTGGTGATGGGAGGGAAAAAAAAACACAAACCCCGAGCAAACTAGAAAGTATGGCTTTTAATGGTTATTCTTCCAGAAAATATTATCTTCAAAAATTAATGATTCATAATTTAATCACCATTCACCTTTTTTTTGAAATGTGATTTTTTTTAATTATTTTTTTTTTACATATTGATTTGGCAATATTGAGTTCTAATAATTATTCAGTTAACAAATATTATCTTCCTGAGACTGCCCGAACGGCAAAATTATTACTGCTGTTACTTTTCCTGTATTTCCTGGGTGTCTTAGGTCTCATTAGACCAATAATGGTAAAAGCAAGGGCCAAAAGTCCAGCACCAGTAATAAGCATAAGATGAAGCCTTGAATGTGGACTTGTTTCTGTTTTGTATTGTTTTGTGATTGCATGTACTTGCACTTTTGTCATTCTAATGAGTTCTGTATTTGAAGATTAGACACCCCACTACTGTATGATCCTGATTCAGTTGTAGTAGGGACAAAGATTAAGGGCCCAGTTCAAAACTAGTTCTACAAAAAGAGAGGCTGAGCTAAAACTATGTAAAATTCAAGTCTCTCAAAAGTTAACATGCTTAATAACATAGATTTTATCCATCTAGTCATCCATTCATCATTTTTCATTTAGTGATACTTTTGTTAGAGAAGAATTAATCAGTTTGATGCAAATAAATGCAATGTTGATGAAATTCAACAGGGCCAAATGCAAGGTCCTGCACAATGGTAGAGGCAAGCCCAAGCACAAATACAGGCTGGGCAGAGAATGGATTGAGAACAGCAGCCCTGAGGAGAAGGACTTGGGGGTGTTGGTAGGTGAGAAGTTCAACATACAATCGTAGAATCATAGAATGGTTTAGGTTGGAAAGCACCTTGAAGATCATCAAGTTCCAACCCCCCCTGCCATAGGCAGGGACACCTCCCATGACATGACATGACATGAGCCAGGAATGTGCAATCACAGCCCAGAAAGCCAACTGCATGCTGGTCTGCATCAAAAGAAGCGTGGCCAGCAGGTCAAGGGAGGTGATTCTGCCCCTCTACTCCACTCTGGTGAGACCCCACTTGGAGTGCTGCATCCAGCTCTGGAGCCCCCAACACAAGAAAGACATGGACCTGTTGGAGCAGGTCCAGAGGAGGGCCACAAAGATGATCAGAGGGCTGGAGCACCTCTCCTCTGAAGACACTCTGAGAGAGTTGGTGTTGTTCAGCCTGGAGAAGAGAAGGCTGTGGGGAAACCTTATAGCAGGCTTCTAGTACTTGAAGGGGGCCTACAGGAAAGGTGGGGAGGGACTTTTTATCAGGGAGTGTAGTGATAGGATGAGGGGTAACAGCTTTATACTGAGAAAGGGTAGATTTAGATTAGCTATTAGGAAGAAATTCTTTACAGTGAGGGTGGTGAGACACTGGAACAGGTTGCACAGAGAAGCTATGGATGCCCCATCCCTGGAGGTGTTCAAGGCCAGGTTGGATGGGGCTTTGAGCAACGTGGTCTAGTGGGAGGTGTCCCTGCCCATGGCAGGGGTTTGGAACTAGATGATCTTCACAGTCCCTTCCAACCTAAACTATTCTATCATTCTATGATTTCAGCCAAGCTGAAGTGTGTGTCTGGGAAATTATTTCAGCCTTTTATAGTTGTGGTCTGTGATTCCAAGAAATGGCCAGCATTTTCTCTTTTGTGGCTAGCAGAAGACTAAATGTTGAACTTAAATATTATGCCTCTTTCCATCTCTTGGAATTTAGAGGGTGAATTGGAAATACCCCAATAAAATTGTTCACGTACAAATTTCCTTGTCTGTATGAGCCCATGATTTCTCATGTGTTACAGAGACAGCACAGGGCAAAGACAGTGTTGTGTGTGGGCGGCTGCATACCCACAGTCAGTAGCAGCAGTTCAGCTATTCTGGGCTTGGGAAAGGGGCAAGCAACCCCAGAAGAAGATTAAGAAGATTAAAACAAAAATAATAGTTTGGGAGACAAAAATAAAACCATTAGTGTCGCATATCTGTGAAAGCACCAGCTCTAAAAGATAGCTGAGCGCAGACTCTAGGCTCTGCAAATCCTTCCCATGATAAAAAAATACCTGAATACCTGTTTACCTTTTCCTGTGAAACACAAGAAGTAGGAAGGCTTCTGGGGACCTGTTGGGTACTTTTTTCTGCTTCCTTTGAAGAAACTTTGAACATACCTTTTTTGACATCCGAAACATTTTGAGTTTTAAATCTGAGTTCAAGATTTATAATGCTCATATTCCTCATAGTCAGAAACCATGATCAACTCTCATACAAAGATTCTCTAGACTGTGCTAACACATTTTGTCAAAATGAAATGTAGGGTCATTATTATCTGTCCAGCTATATTTTTGTTAATGTGAGACATGAGCACTGCTTTGTGCTAATAATTTCCAGTCGTTGTATGCTTTTTCCCTCTGTTTTAAATTTCTCTTCTCCCTCCTTGTGCATGTGTGCTCTCTCTCTGTTGCTCTCTTCTTTCTGAGTGTTTTACAGAGCCTGGTAACATACAATTCTGTGCAGGACTGGTGGCATATGAAGCCTGCTGCACAGGGTTTTCCCTTTCATAGTCACTATAGGTATGCACCCAAACCAAACCATGCCCTACTTCAGGCTCTGTCTAGATCTTCTTTTGATGACACAGAGCTAGAATTTATCATTCACACAGACCTACTCTTAGTCTTCCAAATAGTCAGTCTTCATTTTTATGGGGAACTTTTATAAGTTCCTGAGGTTGATTAAGTAGCTGTTGAGAAGAAGACACATCACTGAGCATCTTTGCTGAAAATAGTTTCTCCTTGAAGGTTGATATGGTAAACCCTTCATTACACTTACATTATATTTGTTCTTCCAGAAAAAGGAACCTGTGGTTTGAACAAAGAAAAGTGCAGAAGAAGAATCTGCAGGCCAGACTCAAGGACTCATCGGTGTAAATGTTCTAGTGGCTTTATTTTAAGTCGAAATAAACAGTTTTGTGAAGGTAATACATGAATCTCCCATCAGCTTTATTCCATCAGATGAAAAAAATCTTCTGTCCTTGAGTATGAAAAAACACTCTGAGGTTTCAAAAATTCCAGTTTTGCCATTTCAGTTTTGTGTCCTTTCAGGTTCTGAAATAATCTAAAAGGAGACCTATGAAAGTGTCACAAGTGCTACTCTTGCCAGAAATTTTGATCTTAGCCTGAGTAGTTAAAGGAGCTTCAGATAAGTAGACATGCTTATGGGTGCTTATCAAAATTAAAACAGATATATTGCCAAAGGTGACACGTTGAAAAATTCTGCAAAAAGCGGGCTGCCTTAAGTGCCACTTTCAAAAAAGACACAAATTCTCAACATGCTTCTAAATGTTTTAATCTGGATTGTTTTAAAAGAAATCTAACATTACTATTTATAATAGTTAACATATCACTTTTAGAACTATCTTTTCCACTACACAACTAGATTTAAAAAGATATAAAGGCATCAAAATTCCTAGCTTCCAGACCTGCCTGAACAGCAGCCATCCAGTTCTCAGGAATTTCACCAAGATTGCTTTCTGAATTTCAACTTCTAAACCATTTCTGTATTTTAAGAATTGTATTTAAGTTCTGTTGGAGCCAGATTTTTTCAATTAATTTTTGTCTGAAGAAAGCATCTGATGTGAATTTTTTGGGTGCATGCAGGATTTAACTGGCACTGGAACCTTTATGGGAAGGCATACTTTTGGAAGTCCTCTAGGCACCTATGCTGGATACATGCAGCCTCTGTAGGTTTTGCTAGAAGGTTTTTAAAGCTTATTTGATTAAGGTCTGCAAACTTGCTTTTTGTCATTTATTAGGACGAACATATTTTTGTAAAATGCATGGGATAAAGAAGTACTTCTTGAAGACTGCTGGTTTGTTTCATTAATCTAATTACCTGGAACTGCTTGATGGTGTTATTCTGACATAGCACATGCATATTTTGGCAGATATCAATGAATGTGGCTTCTGGAATCACGGCTGTACTTTGGGCTGTGTGAACATCCCTGGTTCCTATTACTGCACCTGCCCGAGAGGTTTTGTTCTTCTACCTGATCGGAAAACATGTCATGGTAAGTAGCAGTAATACATAAATGCCTCCCGTATGATATCGGAGAGTCCTCATTTAACACTGGAACTGCTGAAAGTTTTGTGTGTTGCATTGCTCGCTTCCAATCCCCGATTATGTAAGAAGGATCGGCTTAAACTGAGTGAACCAAATTCAGATGTCATGTTTAAGGAACTGTAAGTTACACGTGAATGATCAAGTGTGAGCCTCTTCAGGAACGAAAAAATAGAGTGAGGTCTCCAGAGAGACCTCTCTGCTCAGATTAGGTTCTGTGGCACATTCCAGGTGGATAAGCAGTTCTATCTTTTTTAAATGTGGTCTCTGAATTTGGCTCACTCTGCCTAACCTGCAAAACAATTTGCACAGTCTCTGAATGAGCAGCTTACAGCATCGTCTTTTTTCTCTTCTGGTCAGGGTTGATAGCATTGCTAATATGCATTAAATTAATGAAATTAAATGCATGTGCATCTGTTTACAATGAATAAGACACATGGAAGTATTCATTGAGTTGTTTATTCTGGGGGCCTGCTGCAGTTGTGGTGTTGATTTTTTTTTTCTTTTATGAATTAAATTGCGTATAAGAAGTATGCCTGAGAGAACTTACCCATATAACATAGGTATGTGAACCAGGAAGCTCTCTGAAGCCGGACAAATGTGAATAAACTAAATGCAGAGAACACAGAGAAGTGGAGGGGAAAAAAGTAAAGATCTGTCTGTCAGTAAGCTTCAGGGATCATATTTTAGTCACAGTAAGAGTCAAAGTGAAGGTTTTTGTTCTCCCTTTATGTAGTGTTGTGTATATTCAGCCTACAAGTGAATGAAGCCTTTCTGAAGTAAGTCTAGAACATAAAATGTGAAATGCATCCAAGTTTTGAGATCTGGAAATATTCCCAGTCACTTTTCTATTTCATAATGAAGTGAAACTTAGGCATAAGCAAAGGGTCCTTCTACCTTGTTTCCATGGAAATAAAACATCGGTATATGCCCCAAGTAGAAGTCCCAGCGCACACCAGTGAGCTCAGTCTGGATTATGGCAGGATCAGGACCTGGGGTATATTAAATATCACTACCAGAGAGTATCAGAGTCTAGCAGACTCTAGTTGTCAGTGTATCTATTTTAGACTTGCAAGAGTCACTTGTCCCTCTCTATTAAGAGGGAGCCAGGAGTAGGGTTCAGTGATCCAAATATAGGGGTCCAGGATGCGTATAACAACTGCAGAAGGCAGCAAGATATGATGGTAAAACCTATAGGACTCCTGCAGCCAGAGGCTCTTGGGAGCTGGGATATTCTTTTGTGTGCAAAACAACACTTAGACGCTGTGCAACTCAGTCCTACTCTGGATGACAAGCTTGAACTATATGCCTACATTTTGAGGTGCTCAAATTGGATAGAAAATAATGTTTTTCTAACACAGGCTAGGGATGCAGCATGGACAGTATAACTCCTTAACTACTGCAGCACAAGGCAGATATGTCACCAGCTACGCAACTTGAGAGAGAGAGATATGCAAGGTGAGAAGTCCACTTGCTGACCAGATATTTCGATGCTTTGTCTTCCAAGTCCTGTACAAAGCTCTTCGTCTAAAGCCACAAGCTCTAGTCAGAAAGAAACAAGATCAGTTTCTTGACTCTCTTCACTGTGCTTAAGGGGTTAGAATGACCCAGTCCAGAGCGCAGTTGCCCTGGAGAAGCAATATTTGCAAGAGCTACGCACCATTTAAGCCAGTGTATGCGGCTGATTCAAAGAAGCAGCTGTGGGAAACCTGCATCAGTTCCAGTCTTCCAGCGGGTGTTGCCATATGGCACTAGAATTGGCACAAAGAGATGCAGCAATGCAATACAGAGGGTACAAGGAGGATGTCCTGTGAAATTGCATTAAAGAAATACCCCCAAAAATGTTGGCACTCCAACAATTATAATGCAAAGTAAAGGAAAGTCGTTGCCAGGTCCTCAGATGGTTTTGCCCCTACAGCTTCAAAAATTACCCCTAAGGAACGTAGATGGAAAGTTCATCTCCTGTTTTCATTGATTCTAGCTCTGTTACCCTTGGAATAGTAGGAAAGTAGTTTTCTTTCATTCTCTTTGTGTTTTATACTTATTCTTTTCGTATAACTTCCTTGCAGTTCTCAAAACCTGATCTATTTTGGATGAAATGTAAAAAAGAAAGCTTTCTAAATTATTTCTATTTTGATAACACTTCTTCATACAATTTTGGAAAATTTAAAGCTAATCAGTACAATGGCCTCAGGACCCAGCAATTTTGGCTTTCTCTTTTGCTATAATGAGGGGAGGGTGGGGAAAAAAATCTGGAAAAAACCCAAAACAAACCAAAACAAATCCTAGAAAGACCACAGAACTGCTGTACTCTCAACATAACACTTTTTTTTTCTTTCTTTCTGTCTTTTTCCTTCTGCTTTTTCCTTCCACTCTTTCTTCCTCTCTTCTGCTCTTTCAATCTCTCTCATTCTCTCTCTCGTTCTTTCTCTTTCTCATTCTCTATTGTTCTCTCTCTCTCTCTTTTTCTTTTGCTATTTAAGAAAGTGTTAACATCTCTCTTGGAGGGATTAGTAAAATTTTTTTTCATTGTTTAAGATTTTTTTTCCTCTTTAAATTACTGTAGAGCTAATTTCCTGTACAAGTAACGACACTGAATGTAGCCATGGTTGCCTTCAAACATCTAAAGGGCCTGTTTGCTTTTGTCCTGAAGGATCTGTACTCAAAGTGGATGGCAAAGCATGCACGGGTAAGTAACATTTTTCTGGCTGCAGTGACTGCCAAACCCTGTTTGTTCTCAGCACTGAGAGCCAGAAGTGAATGATGGCATTTTACCCTCATTTTGCACAGCTGTAAATGATTGTACAAGATAGGAGGCAATGGAATGTCAGGCTCTTTCAGTGCTGAGATGAACAATATTCGTCTTCATTTTTTAATAGATGTTTCTTAGCAGCAACATCCAATGTTTGCAAGCCAAATTCTTTTGTTGTCAGCACAGATCAACGCACCTCCCAGCTGTTTGTCGCAGGAGACACCTAAAATTTATATTTGAGGGGAAATATAGGTACAAAATTTAAGCTTGAAATCTGAAAATTACTTTATTGACCAGGTTCAGTACTTTATTAACCCAGGTTCAGAGTCACTCTAACTTGCAGCAATTTCATCTAATTACCCACAAAAGGAATTTTTGCAGTCAGAATATTTGAAGCTGCTACACCCACTAATCTGTCATTCCCCATTCCAGCAAGCTTTCCAAATTCAGGGGACTGGAGCTTTTCAACTGTAGCTTTTCAGTCTTAGGGGTCAAGATAGCTCCATTGATGCCAGCCTTACACCTTGAAAAAACCCCTTCCCCTTTTACATCCCTCACGTACTGCGGACCGTACTGTATAGATAGATTCAGTCAGTGTTGCTGCTTTGCTCGGGGCACTCCACGGAGTCAGCTCAGGCTGGCGTTGCAGATATAACCATTGTACAGCCCCAAGAAGAAAGAATAGTTTATTTTTGTAGCAAAACTTGGTTTGTTATATTAGAAAGTGTGTCTCATTGGTTCACCATACTAGCTTAACTTCTGGGGAGAGAATGGTATTGATTTGATGTTTCTTTGCATGGAGTGCAAAGTCTGGTAAAAATGTGTTACTTTGTTGTAGATGGGATGAGAATTGCATGGGAGAAAGAGTTGTCTGAGATAATGAACACTTGGAAGCCCTCTTCATATATTCCCCTCCCCTCCCCCCCCCCATCTTGTGTTATGAATTTTCAGGAAAAACTCTGGAAGAAGCTACTACTAATTTGCTTTCATTTCACTAGACTTCTGCTTTCAGCGGGAGGCCTTTCAGTAAACCTATTAGTCACCGAGATGCTTTGCAGCATAGAAATCCTAAGCAGAGTGAATCATTCTCTTGCTTACACCTCTGATTCTGTTGTGGGTTTTTTTTTTTCTTAGAATGGCAAAATTAAATTTTTCAAATGCTCTGTTTAAGGTTGTACATCTCCAGATAATGGTGGCTGCAGTCAGATATGTTCTTCTTTAAGCCCGTCCTCCTGGGAGTGCGCTTGTTTTCCTGGATATAAGCTTCAGCGAGACAGAAAGCACTGCACTGCTATAGGTTGGTATCCTGGTATGCCTGCATATTTCTGCCAATAAAAGCAAAAGCATTTTAGAATCCTTTAAAGTCGATTGCGTTACTGGGATCCGTTTTTACACTGGTTTTAGGTTACTTTGTGAAACTTGGGAAATATTAGTTGTTTGGAAAAATAACCTATTTTGGAAATATACCAGAAAAAGCACCAGTATATGGTTCAGTCTCCCTCACAGAAGATTCAGTCTATTATCCAACTTCTGCATTTCACTCTGGGCTTCTATACTGCAGAGGGCTATCTGCAGCATTCAGGTTTTTGTGCCTTCATATAAATGTGGGTGGAGTGTCTGCCCAGTTTTACAGAATTGGGGCTGAGGTGTCTCCATTCGGAGAACAGGGCAGGGAATAGTCTGAAGGACCTTCCCTACAAGGATATTTGTCCCCCACTGGCCTCAGGAAACCCACATATTTGATGTGATGTTTGGATTCCAGACCCTTCTGTTTCTTCTGAGAAAAGGGCAGACCGTGGTGAGCAGCAAGGTATAAGCAATTGCATGAGAGAGAGGAGGAAAGAGAAGTTTGTGATTTGTTTCAGGAATAAGGGAAAGGCTTTATTTTTTTGTAGGACAGCATTTTTCTTGCTTTTACTGTGAAAGGCTTCTCATGTGCAAAAGTCAAGTGTTCTTGCATTTATGGTGACACTGTGAAATGCAGAGAGAAGATTGTCTTGAGTCTAAGTCAGTGTGAAATGCAGCGGGGCTAGTGACTGCCTTTATCACAAATTTTGAGGCTGATCCTGGGCGAGGCACCGATGCTGAAAAACAATATTCACGTTTGTCTTTGATTTCTAAGGCAAGTGGAATGTAGGACAAGGGCCTTCGTTTCTTTGTGCCTCAGTTCCTCATTTTGTCTTCTACCGTTAACTTACAGTGTTAGGTAGGGAGTGATGCAGGCTAGAGATCACTTTGAACCTAGTGAAATTAACATACGTGCAAATTCTTATCAACAGGTCCTAAGCCATTTTTGCTATTTGCAAATGGCCAAGATATCCGCCAGATCAGTTTTGATGGAACAGATTATGCAAGTTTACTTGACTGGCAGATGGGAATAGTCTTAGCACTGGACTCTGACCCGGTGGAAAATAAGGTAAGGCATTAAAAATGAGAGGATTTTGAAGTGTTGCAAGGACAAATGGATTGGGCTTTCATGTGCCTTAACCTTTCTGCTGTCAGTGATCCAGATTACATGTTGTGCTGCTCAGTGTTCTGTTGCCTGTGCAGGAGCACAACTGGTACAGGATGCCAAACACCAGTTGAAGAGTTTCATCCTTCACTTACCGGTTTAATCTCCTTTGTATGTTGACATGGCTAATTCACAGAGAATTTGGATTTCTAAATTCACTTCAGGCATGATTTCAATTTCAAAGAACTTTTATGTTTGATAGTTTTGTCACTTAAGATTTCAGTACTGTTTTCTGGAAATATAATGTGGGATATTTTTTTCACTGGGTATCTGTAAAAGCAACAATATCTTTTTTTTTTTTTTTCTGTACAGCTACATCCCACAATCCCTACTAAATGTAGGAGTAACCTTAACAAGAACTCCTTCCTGTGTCCTGACACTACTGAGCAAAACTGCTGAACGCTCACTGGGTCTATTGTTCTTATGAGATATATTCCTCATATTACAAGATATTGCTGCTGGAAACTGGAGTCTTCTCTGCAATAAAGAGCTGTTTTTATATGTGGCCACATCCCAGTGCCCTACCCCTTGCCTGCAGAGTTGGGAAGAATAGGAGTTCAGCTGTGCTTTGCTAAACCTTCTATGGCAGATAGTTATTTTTTCCCATGGTGAGACTTATTTACACTGTGAAAGTGTTACAAAAAGACACTGGATGGTACGCTGAAATCTGATTAGGAGTTCAGTAAAGTTGCTGGAAACATCTCAAGGCCTGGAAGGATACAGCTAAACAAATGAGAACGTAACTAGCTCTGCATTACAGGAGAATCATTTCAGGCGCTGCTGGAACATTGCCACTTGCTCCTGAAATAGGGCCCTGCTGGGGAACTAGCAGTTGTTCTGTGCTGTGCCGAATATAAATCAGCTGCACTGGTGGCACTGGGTGTGCAGTCTTGTTCCACTTCTGTAGGGAGCTCTGCACGGTGGGGCGGCAGTGTGGAGGTGAGGTGATGTGCGGCGGTCCAGCCAGTCTGGCCCTGGTGGCGCAGAACCGAGCTGCGAGGTAAATTAGCTCAGCATCGCTCTGTGCTCCCACATTAATTGAATTAGCTGGTTTATTGCTAGAGGCCTCCTTCCTGATTTGTTTGGCCTCGTGGCTAGCATCAAAACAAAGTTACCTCTTGTGTTGCTGCCATTTGCAAAGAAAGCCTCAGCGTTGCTTTGTATATAGTTCTGCCATACAGTGTTTGGCTCCCTCTGGATATCACATGCAAGACTATCCTCATCCTTGGAAAACACAAACCCAATTTCCCCACCAGCAGAGAACTTTTATTTAGACCTAAAACTGAGAAGCCTTTTCTGGAAATGTTAGAGCCTTACAGAATAGGCACCTGGTAAAAAATTAAGATATGTGCAGGCTGAAAGAGGGAAAAAATAGAAGCAAATTCTGTAACTCCTTTTCACTTCCCAGCTCCTTGACACACATACATTACTACTCTCTTCTCCCCACTACCATCTTTTTAAAAAGAGCAGCCAGTGAAATGATAACATGCTGCTTTTTGCCGGCTCCTCCTTTTGCTTCCTCAGCTGTGCTTCATGTGAGGTAGCTGCTCGCTGAAACAAAACCACAGGATATTCAGAGGGCTGTATATAGGGCAACCAGGATTTACAGCTAAGCACAAGCTGCCTGTAGAAGTCATCCTGGTTGAAGGATAAATACCTTTTTATTTGATCAGGGATCACAGGTTACCTGTGCAGCTTTTTGTGAATAAGCAGTTCAGGGAACTTGCAAGACAAAAAAGTTGTTTGAGAAGTGGAACTATTAGACAAGGGCAATAGAGCAGAAAGTGAGATGGAGACTAATAACACCTCATCTGTTATTTCTTCACAGATTTACTTTGCCCACACAGCCTTGAAGTGGATAGAACGAGCTGATCTGGATGGCTCAAATCGTGAAAAAGTTATTCATGAGTCTATAGATACACCCGAAGGCCTTGCTGTGGACTGGATTAACCGTAAATTGTATTGGACGGACAGAGGGTACATGCTCCACAGTGCATTTATGTTGAAGCATGCCATAAAATGTTTGGAATAAATGACTGGTGATACAGAAATAGCTGAGCTATCACTCTAAATTCAGTAACGCTTCACATTCTGATTGGGTAGCTGTGATCTCAAGTATATACATTTGGAAGGTTCTTTAAAACTGAAATGCTGGAAGTTCACTTTGAGTCTGCTATTGTATTTTTATCTTTGTCTTTCCAAGAAGGAAGGGTTTGGGCACACTTGCAAGGAATTTAAAGCATGTACTGCACGTATACATATATGTATATGCACATGCATGTGTGAATATATATATGTATACACTCATATTTATATACATGCACTGTATGTGTGTATATATAGGTATATCTTTATTTTTATATATATAAATAATGAGTATTACTGCACTGAGTATGTTTTGGACAGAATTCAGCATTGTTGGCAGCTAGAATCATGCCCCTTTAAGCTAATGGAGAGCCTTTGTCAATTACCTCTGATAAAAGAGGAATAGCCACTGGTAGACAATATGGCTTACATTTCAGCTGATACCTAACCTTACATGCAGAGAGAAAAAACTGCATTTTTTCATGTAGGTACTGCATTTACCTGTTTGTATCCCACATTTACACGAATATATTTCTCCTTCCATCTTTGTGTGGTCTTTCTATGCAGGTTCAGTTTTAGTCAATAAAAAGTGGTTTTGAAGGTCCAGATCACCCTCCTCCTCCCTTTTAAATATGCTGCTAGTCCACTTCCTTGCTGTTCAGCGCAATCTTGTCTACGCCATTGTGCTCCTGTATAAATGTGCCGGTGTGTCTTGGGAAATGGGAAATTGTGGTGCTTGTTTCTGTAAGGCAAGAGTCAAGGGTGATGCTGTGAGCTGGTACCTGCCACGTCAGGTAGGCATGGAAGGCTGTAGCCTTGCTTTTAGGTAGTGGCTGATATTTGTTTGGCAAGGAGAAGTTTGTAGCAGTAAGTACAGTTTTCTGGAAAAAAGATGAATTGAGAGACTGGCAATGTAGATTCTATACTTCAAACTCCATAGATTTTATGAGCGATCATAAAGACCTTAGCTTTATTCTTTTCTGTAAAATAGATAAAATATGTAAAATGCTTGGTGGTTTCTGGATGAAGAATGCTATAGAAAAGTACTGTTTTAAAAAATTCATTACACATTTGACAATGCCATTCAGTTAGGAGCTTGTTTTCCTCCTGACTACTTTAAAAACTAACATTCATCTATTAGTGATCATACTTCCAACTCATCATTTGCCCAAAAAGGGAGAAGTTCACGTCTCCTGCAGAGCAACAGGTATTTTATCATCATGCCTTGGACTAGATAATGAGGTTGTAGCATGAATTACTTGTTGATAAAACAACTAGACAGCCCATATCAGCAGGATTATTTCCTGTCATTGTGAAGTTATTTATTACAGTTTTGTGCTAAACTAAAGCAATGCAAAAACTTAGTACATTCTGCCTGAGAAGCTAATTAAAAAGCTAGCAGGGAGGACCTAACAGTGCTGTGTGTATTGCAGGAAGGCACGCATCGAGCAGAGCAATCTGAATGGAATGCAAAGAAAAATGATCATCTGGGAGGATATCTCTCAGCCCCGAGGGATTGCCATTCACCCGTTTGCTAAGTAAGGAGTGATAAACCTGGTTAATTGTCTAATTACTTGAGGAGTCTTCTTGAAAATGAGCATGCCGGCCTTGCCCTTTTGGCAGTCAAAAAGTGCATCAGTCTCATGTTAAGATAGTCATTGCCTTGGACAGTTGTGTGAACTCCAGTGTTTTATTGCTGTGTTTCTTTTGGGAGTTGGGACATGTTCATTTCTCATATAGATTTACGAAAATACCAGTAGCATTAAAGACACTGTATGCAGTTTAAGCTAAAGAAGAGCACGAGCGACTGAAGTCACCCTGGCAGTTGTAAGCACCACGCTACAAACTTTGATGGTTCCATATTTAGTAGTGTGAAGAAGGTAGTCCCTTGTAACCAATGGTGCTTACAGAGGACTTTTTTGGCCATGTTTCAGTTTCTGAGGAAGCTAAACCAAATCTTCTATCGTGGAGATGCATTGATTTAAATGCACCTTGTATCTTCTTACCTAGTGATGAGATGATCACAGGAGTTTTGAATGTTTAAAATCCTGATGAAATTCCGGTCATTTTAATCAATGGCAAAGCTCCACGGATTTCGGTCAATATGCGTGTACTAGGATGGTTTTAAATGTGTTGATTTTTTTGTTTGTTTTTATGCTCATATCCTGCTGTAACTAAGTACTGATGAATGAAGCTGGGTTGGAGAGGGTGTTTTGTTAGCTTCATCCTGTACATAAAAGACCTGAAAGAATCTTTCAGTAGAAGTTCAACATGACAGAGACATTTTGCAGGAAAACTTTAAGAACAGGTAGGTTCAGGGAGATTGTTTATTAGAATTAGTGGTAGAGGCAAGGGCTACAAGGGGAAAGGGAGGGGGAGACATCACTAAAACCTTCCTTATTAGAAAGTTAATGGTGAAAGGAGGAACAGACATTACAGCAATGTCCCTAATTGCTAAGTCAGTATTAAAGAGAGATCTAAGGCACAATTAAGACTGTTGACAATACTGATCTCTGCAATGGCTACACAAAACTGCTCATGTAAATGAAGCTAAGTGGATCTGTGAGTTATCTCAGTAAACCTGACAAAGGCAACTGATGCCTAGGAAGACTGGACTCCAAACTTCAGAATTAATTTGTGGGTTTAGCTATCTTCATTTTAGGTGGCCATCTTGCACCGTCTGTTCTATGAAAAACAGTGAGCACTCAGTGGGTAACATTCAGGACTCTAGAGGGACACCCTGAGAATCACGATTTTATTAAAAAACTAGAAGAGGCTGGGCCTGATACTGGTTTATTTTTTCAAAACAAAATAACCTGAGGACTCTTGCTTGCTTTCCATAGATGGTAGTAGTTTTGGTTACGTTTGTGCGTTATTACACCCTTGTTTAGAAAAGAGGCTAGCTAATGCATCATCTTCTGGTGTCTGCGTTCGCTAAACCACTATCATCAGTCACATGGAAAACTCAAAAAACAGATATGAAGAGTTGGCAGTTAGCATAGGTGGGAGGAGTTGTTTTTCAAAGATTTTGTGCCAACGAACAGAGTGGGGATTCTGTATAAGTCCCAATGTAATCACCTGGAGTCTTATGGCAAGTGTTAAAAGATCAGCAGCCAATACATTTGCTTGAAACGTACACTTTTTCTCATGTGCCTCAGCCTGTATTGCTCTGATCTGATCTTTCTGCTTTGAAAGAACTCCACAGAGAGGACAAATATTTACTTATTAACCTCCTGTATGCATTTTCTTTTTTAAAGGAGATTGTTCTGGACTGACATGGGAGTCAATCCCCGGATTGACAGCTCTTCATTAGATGGCATCGATCGCCAGGTTATAGCCAGCACTGGTCTGGTGTGGCCCAGTGGAATAGCTCTCGACTACTTAGCCGACAAGTTGTACTGGTGTGATGCTAAACAGTCAGTGGTTGAGAGCGCAAACCTGGATGGTTCTGATCGTCGAATTCTTGCACAGAATGATGTAGGTGAGGCTTTGGGGCTGATAATTACCTACTGCTGCTTGGCAATGCGCTTGTGTATCTGCATGTGTAGCTGTGCATGTGAATTACCAGCCAGCAGCTGTGCTGTGTATCCCAGGCAACTCTGCGCTGAGGTTAATGGCATCACTTAGTTCTTCATTCTGTCACCCAGTAGACTTTCATTTATTCATTTTAGGAAGAGAACACCTTTCTGACACAATCTGCTTTTACTAATCAGCCACTTTGCGTTGTACAGAGAACTTCTCTGACTTCGCAGAAGAGTGAAAAGAAGGAAAAAGTTAAAAATGTGGTTTGCTTGTTCCATGCATGGCTGCTTAGTGTAAGTCAGGGTTTGCTGTGTTTATTACACCAGTGAGTTATATCGATGTAAGCTGGGAGAGACTTCATCTTGGCCGCTAAGGTCCTTGAGCAAAGAACATGCATCTGCACAGTGTTGAACGCTGGGATGATTCTAAGTACACAATAGACACTGCATGGAAAAATAATTTATGCAATATGCTGGTAGTTGTTATGGCTGAGTTTTCTGTTGTTTGACACATAACTGTGTTGCTCTGGCGCAAGAGAAGAGAAATATTAGCAATGAGGAACTGATGTTGGACCATATTGAAAGTAAACCATGTGTTTAAAAATCTTGTACATGGCAAATTAGTTTCTGGAGAGGACAACTCCCTTTGTGCATGATATCTCTCTGGGGACAATTTTGTAGGTGGGCCTGCAAAACATGGGCAGAATGAGGAATCTCCGCTAAATACCATGACTGCCAGTGGTCTGTTACTCTGTTAAGCAGCTGCTGTTGTAGCGTCTGCTCTGGGAAGGCTTGTGTTCATCTCCTCAGCCAGATGCCCTCCCACTTCTTTGGAGGTGAGCAGAGTGAGGTCTTGGGGCAGCAGTATACTCCAGTATGTCTCCATAAGACATCAAAGTTCGTGAGCAGAATGACTTGCCAGCATTCCTCTCTTTTCCCCTGCTGCACAGATTCTGCTGTACAGTCCACCTTGCAACGGATCTGCAAAGGAGGACCTTTAAGCCTGTTGAAAATTTCACTTTGTTTCTCCACAAGGAATGGGACAGTGTCTTATGGGGAAAAAAAGAGAAGGAGAGCTGGGAACGCTGGAGAAACACAGGGTATGGGAAAGGAGGTGGGCTTGGAGCAGTGATGTGGATGTTTGGAGGTGGGAGAATAGCACATCAACACCTGACGGAAAGAAGTGAAAGAGGTGAAGTGCAGACCTGTAGGGGTGTGAATTTAGAGAGGCAGAGACACTTGATATCCTGATGTTTTGCTAATGCTGTTAGTGAGACCAGAGTTCAGCTTCTGTACCTGGACAGCTGTACACTAGAGGACAGGATGTGGCATCTCTTCATAGGCGTTCTGCTGTAACATGAATTTTTATTACAGCAGCTCCCTCTAGTGCCCCAGTACTGAGAATTCATTCAGTATAGCTGCATACAAAATGGGTAAAATTATTTCTGCTCTTCTGCTAACCCCGTTTTCAACTGTAAGTAAAATAGCCTGTAAGGAGCCGTTCAAGGCAGCGAACACCACAACCATTTCTTTTGTTTATGCAATGAGTTGGGTTTGCAGTGTTGCAGAAGGGGTTCATGTGTTATTAACTTTTTTCCTTCCTTCTGTCTTCATTGATGACTTTTCTTTTTAATCCTTAATGTATTTATAAGTTAAGAGGTTAAGGAATTGCCGGTCAAAGCGAGGTGTTTGTTGGTAGTGCAAGATACAGATGCTAAAATTGTGAATAAATATTTGGATGGGGACAACATCTAGATCTTGGGCTAGTTGCTCAAATTTCATGGAAAGAAAAACTAAGAACCATGCCCAGTGATTAAGCACAGTTCAGTAGAGGTGCTGACAGAACAAAAATATACTCTTTAACTTAACATTTAAGAACACTTAAACAATGTCTTAGAATTTTTCTTATGTAGGAGTGGGTTTTCTTCAGTTTATTTGTGATGTGTATTTAAGATATACCAATGCATACTCCTTCTCCATGTTCTAATTTATCTATTGCTTTGTTTGCTTGTTTATTTGTCTTTGATTTTTTAATTTTTTTTTAAATTTTTTAAACTGATACCTTTTGTGATGCCAATTTCATTAGTGAAATTAAACATCACCTAGTTGAGGCCTACATCAAAAACCAAGAACAGTCATAAAATCACATGCCTACAAAATATACTTCTCAGAGAGGCTCAGACTGCAGCGGTACAGAGTGAGGCTGCGAGTAAAGACCAGGACAAAGAAAACCTGCTTCAGCCAGGAAGCACCCACTCTGAAACCAGGTGGACATCCATGGAAGAACAGTATGTGGTCTTACCTGCCACTGCAAAAAGCTTGCCCAAAGGCTACCTTGAAAGCAGGAGTTTTCTAAATGTATAGAAAGAATGCATAGTCCCATATGGACTAATGACAAAAGGCAAACATTCTGCCTATCATGATAGAGATGTTAAAAAGAGTCAGAATCATTTGCAACGGTCTTTATATCCGTAAGTGTATCTGCGCTTATACATAAAAATTTCCCTTGGATTCTGAATTGCTGAGCTTCTCTCTGGAAGTCAAACTAGGGATCTGAGTTTTTCTAGTGCAGAAAATGTGCTACCAGGGAAAAATTGCTGTATTCTGAACTTGGGGTGGGATTTCTCTCATCTGCTGTTAGTCATTTAGGTCTCAGCTGGTGTCTATGTTCCTGTTGTAATCACTGAAAACAGATGAAGCTACCTGGATGATGTATTGCATCCTGTGGTTTGTGTTAGCTGTTACTGTTAGTTAGCTGGCTAACAGACAGTGACTAACTAGTCACAGCCTAATGCTGCTAGTTGGCTGAAGTGAGGAAAAATAATTCTTCTCTTCAATTTTGCACTGTGATGAATTGGCTCGTGAATGTCTGTGCATGTTTATATGTACATGTGGACCACTGTATTGCACTTCTGTGTACTTTTGGCACTTGCAAAGACCACACACTGGCTTTGGGGTTCTACTATGAGTCAGTGGCTATTGTGTCTGTAGCTCCCAGGCTGCCCCATGCTGGTACACAGTTATGCAGGACGATGCATGCCATGAGCTCCTCTCCTCCCTGTTATGTGAAAACTACCAAAGGAGCTGTGTACCTCAGCAGCTCTGTGCTGGGCCACTTACTGGCAGAGAAGGGAGGCACGCCACTTCTGAAATGCTGGTCCCAATGCTGCTTCAAAAAATGATGGTATCTGAGATAGAAGCATCTGGTGGACTTGATCTGGTTGGAGGTCACCAGCAGTATAGAGACTGTACTGAGCCAGGCAAGTGTCATAGACTGCTCTGCTAAGAGCATAATTAACATGCGTCCATGGTCCATCATTCATGGACGCTTATCCCTCCCCATGAGACATCGAAGTGGCTATGGCTATGCCACTGTGTTAGAAGTAGACCTGTATGCAGATACTGCTTTTGTTTGCTTAGTTTCTTGTGTATGTGTCTACAGCTATGGAAACGAGAAATCTTCTTTCTTTGTAGGCCACCCTTTTGATGTAGCAGTGTTTGAGGATCACCTTTGGTTTTCTGACTGGGCTAGGCCATCACTAATGAGGGTGGACAAGAAGACCGGCCAAAACAGGGTACGTCTTCGAGGCAGCATGCTGAGACCCTCATCAATGGTTGTAGTTCATCCTTTGGCGAAACCAGGTATACTGCAAAAATTAAGCAGTCATTCCCTTCCCGCCTCCTCTTGTTCACTGATGTCAGTAGAATAGATGTCCCTCGGGGTAGGATTATCTTCTCAGAAATAGGATCTTTAAAAGGCCTTGCATAGTCAGACTGGCATTTATTGAAAGCATCATCTGGGCGTGTGTCCCAGGATTTTGTATATTTATGATCATGCCCAACAATAGATGCTGATCAGTTGCCACAAGGCTACCATGGTCTTCTATTTCCTATTTATCTTAGTTTATTAGCAACCCTTACACATACAAATAATAACATATGACATGGAGAAAGATTTTGTAAAAATTATTAGTTTTGGATCAACTAATTTGATTTTCTGTTGGGAACAATCTCCCTGTAAACAGAAAAAAGTAATTCAACAGACCATAGTTGAGAAGGTAATCACAGGTTCCCTATGCCCTTGTAAAGTTATTTCAGGGAGTGTTAGTACTCTAAATATTAAAGGGGGAATAATAAAGGAAATTTAAAAAAAAAAAAAAGTGTGATACGTTTATTAGATAGAGTATACAAATCTGCTTTCCTGCCGGAGGCTAGGTGGTAATATCTATGCTTTACTATAAGTGTCTGTTTTTAATTAAAAAATTAAAATGTTCTAGTTTTTGTCCGTCCTTATTCTTTTTCCACCTGCTTCAACTCTGCACAGCTAAAAGGAGATTTGACTGAAGAAGCAGCTTGTTAAGTTGCCTGTTTTTCTGCATTAGGGGCAAATCCTTGCCTTTATGAGAATGGAGGCTGTGATCAGATCTGTGAAAACAATTTTGGAGTTGCCAATTGCATGTGTCATCCAGGATTTGGGAAAACGCAAGATGGAAAAACCTGTCGTGCTCTGGATGCTTCCAACACAACAGCAGGTACAATCCTTCAGTTCCCAAAAAGACTGTCCCCAAACCCTTGAGGACCTGACAGATAGTGTTGGAAAATATTCATCCAGCTCTGCATTATGAATGATGGTTTCTCTGAAGAATGAAAACACTGAGGTGTTGTCCTGGGACAATAACATGTCTGACTGTTGTAATTTTTCTCTGGCATATTAGCAGTAAGAGAGATGTGCACAGTGCTGACAAGTCGTGAGGGCAACGAGTGGCAATCGTTGTGGCAAATTGTCTTTTGTATTTGAGAAAACCCACCAGTGAGCAGTTTTAGGAATAATTTGAGGCCAGAAACAGGCTAGGCTGGGAGGATACTGAGGTTTATTTTAGAAGGAAACCACCACGATTACTGGAAAGTAGACAAGTGATAGAAAATCAGAAAGTTAGTTCAGTAAATTTAAATAGTCTGTGTCACTTTTTTCTTGTCTTTTTCAGGACGTGTCTCTGTGCACAAGGAGGTAGAGCCGATGCCAACACCAGAGACCTTGCTCCAGAGCACCCAAAGCAGTGGGACATTCAGGGATACAGACAGTGGGGAAAAGCAGCAAAACAACATTTTGTTGATGGCTGAAATCATGGTATCAGGTAGTCTGATGATTGTCTTCTTTCTATTTAGTGTGAGGCTCTGAACGGGTTTATAGAACAGAAAAATATCATAGACATTAAAGGGAGAAAGGCTCAGTGTCAAGACTGGTGGCATTCAAGCTCTTAACTCTCTTACAAGAAGTTGAGTCTATGCAATTATGCCAGGTAGGACTTTTGTTTGTCTCCATGTTCCTTCGCTATGTCAATAAAACTTAATAATATCATCCAGGCCTAGAAAACAAATATTTTTAATTTGGAGCACTTGTGAGTCTCTTCCTTAGATTTTATAAGTATATTAAATTCCGCTGAACAAAATTGCAATAAAACCATTGAATTTTACATATGTTCAATAATACTAGATGATTAAATGGTACGATAGTTTTTGCATACAATATTCAGAAATCCTGATACTAAATGACACTTGAACTCCATCTAGGCAAAGACAACAGCCCTAATGAATGTAATGGCTTGTCGCCATTAACTCTAGAGGGCTGTTACAAACTTTAACTGTATGTTCTGGTTTTCTTGTTAGTTTTTTGATTGGTTGGTGTTTGGTTTTTTTTTTCTATATAGTACCTCATTTGAGGTTCATCTAGTGGTTTTTTTGATTTTGTTTATGCTATAGATCAAGATGACTGCACTGCACTAGAATGTGATGTCAATGCACAGTGTGTTTTGCTGGAAGATGGTGCTATGTGCCAGTGTTTGAAAGGATTTACCAGGAAGGGGAAATCATGCTATGGTAATAAAATACATTAATACAATCTTCTGGAAAACTGTAGTTTGGGGAAGAGGAAGAAAATCTGTCTTTTCTCACATTGGCAGCTCTGCTGAGTGAGCCATCACAGAAAGGTCAACGGTATTGTTTGTTTTGAAAGGGATGATGAGCATGTGAGATGAAATGGCTAATTATCACATGCCTTATTTTCCCCTAAGTCATGAGTATTAATCTTATTAATATTAACAAGCAATAAAAGGGATAATAGGAATAAAAGCATGATGTATTTATTTGTAAAAATTGCCTAATTATAAAAGCTCCGTCCATAGACATGATAGTTGATGTATAATTTAGAAGTATTTATTAAGGAATCTCTTAAAAATTAGTATTCCTGATCTAATACTTACATAAAAGTGCTGCTTTTGTTTCTTCCTAGCACTAGAAAGACTCTAACCATCAAAAAACACATTGCTCAGAGTGGTCTTTAAGTTTTTGGACTTGCATACAATATAAATGGAAGCACTTTGTTCTCTCATAAAGGCCAAGACAGGAAGGCAGTAGAAACAGAACTATTTACCGTTTGGTCGCTAAACATGAAGACTCACAGAAGTCTATGTTGCTATGGAAAGAAAAAAAAAAAAGAAGGAAGGTGAAATGGGTATAATTTCTTTTTTCATTGTGGTACCTTTTTTTTTTAAGCTTACGTATTCTTTCTCAAAAGAAAGTTTCTCTCTGAGTGGGGTTTAAGAATATAAGACTAGTTTTGAATAGAAACATTCCCTTCAAACGGGATTTTTTTTGAAGCAAGTGGCACTTGTGGAACCTCTAGGTCTCCAGGTGAAAGTAGCTGGTTGACTGTCTTTAGCTCTTTAAAACATCCCCATCAAATTTCATACCAAGAAAAGACCACAAAGCCCTTTTCTTGCCATTTGCTTCAGATGCACAAATGATAAGTGACAGCATAGTCTGAGGAACTTTCATGAAATGAGGAAGACATTTCTTTTTATCAGTTTAACTGATCGCTTCATGACCCGTGTGTCCTGTCTCCTTGTTTTGTCTCACAGATGTTGACGAGTGTGCTGTAAATATGGACCGCTGTAATCGAAATGTTTCAGGCTGCATCAATACAGAAGGAGGCTACGTCTGTAAATGCCTGGAGGGCTACACTGGAGATGGAGTCCATTGCTATGGTACGGGCACGTGTGAGGGCTGTGCTGTGTCTGGATGGCTGGGGCAGGCTGAATGAGCAAGGGACATGTCTTATGATGTGGGCTAGCCTTGCATCAAGCTGCGAAGCTGTCAAATGAGCTCTTCTGGTTCTTTCTGAAAAATCTGGTAGGGGCGTGGATCCTACCAGTGTGGCTCCACCAGACAGTTGACATTTATCATGTCTTCCTTTTTGATTCTTTCCTTCCTGTTTGAAGTGTGGCAACCTCAGCAACTGATCAATATGCAAAGCCTGTAGCTGTCAGTGGATACCTGCTCTCAGTGTTTGCACTCTTCTTAGTAGCTACAGCAGGAGAGAGAGGAAGGGTGAAGGGGAGGAGGGAAACGGAGGTGAAGCAGTAGAGCTTTATTGAAAATCGTTGCCATGAATATAAACGAAAGCAGGTATTGAGTGTGTCATAGTACTCATCAAATAATTCCAGGTCAGTTTAATAGGCATGAAGTTCAAGGTGTTGACACTGACAACTTGAGTACATTTAGAGTCTTGTTAATAATCAGACCCACTGATTTTCCCATCCAGCTCTAATGCAAGGTCTTTAGTTCATTCCTTTCATTTCTTAATTTTTTTTAAATCCATTTTGGCAGTAAATATGAAGGAACAGGAAGCTTTTTCCCCCCAGTATTTGATGAGTGCACAGTTTGTTCAGAGCTTTATGAGAGTTTCAGCTACTCTTTTGTCGTTTTCTTTTTCCTTTTCCTCTGTAGCCTAATTCAAAGCCCATTAAATTTGACCCAATTCTTACATAGTCTTTACTGGACTTTGGTTGTTTGACACAGATAAGGATGACTGAAAAATTAAGAACAATATCATTATTACGGGCAGGTTGTGAAAAAGTATCAGAGTCAGGGGGTTTGAGAAGGCATTCTGCCTACAGTGGTCAGACATCCAGAGCTCATGTCTTTGAGGATGTTTGGAAGTGCAGATGGAAGTGACAAGCTCCTCTTACTGTCCCAACACCACCTACAAGGCATGTCACCAGGCAGCCCTGAGCTCTCTCTGTCTGTGGTACAGTTGCTCAGCTAGAATGATTGTGGTAGCTACCACTAGTATTGAAAGCCAGTCCATTATCTTCCTGAAGTCTTAGACCAGAATACGGTAAGATATGTTTTCGCAACATTTTATAAATGTTATGATGTAAACAGAATTGAAACTAATTTTGTGTTTGACTTGAAATGTACTATAAAAACCAGAAACTGTTGAGTAAGTGATTTTGTACTTCGGTTTTAGACGCCTGCATGCATGCATGCACAGTGTCCAGAAATTCGTAGGTAGATCGAGAGATGGTACAAGATGAGTTCATGTTATGTTGTTGCAATCACATTTCTTGGAATATGCTGCAACAGTTTCATTCCTGTATTTTTCCTTTTAAAAGTGCTCTGAATTTTCTGTTTTGAGTACTAGACTACTGTCAGCACTGTTTGGTACTAGAGTACTGAATTCTCTGTTTCTGGCCAGATCCTGCTAATTTTATTGTAGAAAAACTCCCAGCAGTTTAAGCAATAATTTCACGCAAATTGAGTTGATAGACATGTGATTTTGTTTCCCCAAAGTAGATCTGGCACATGTATTCTGCAGACGGTTCATAAAATGAATCGGAGGCTCCCAAACTCTGGTATGTGAATCCTTTCAAAGTTCCCACCTTTGAGGGGGTTCCTTAGGCGCTTAGCACCATGCAGGTGCCAGCCGGGGGGATGAGTGCCAGCCTGGCAGGAGCTGCCACCACAGGCTGTGCTAGAGAAGGTGAGGAGGCAGACAGAGGGTGTGCAGCAGGGTGTGCAAAAGAGGTATATACGAGCCTAACACAGGCTCGGAGCCTGGAAACACTTCTAATCATAAAATCATAGAATCATAGAATAGTTTAGGTTGGAAGGGACCTTGAAGATCATTGAGTTCCAACCCCCCTGCCATGGGCAGGGAGACCTCCAACTAGGCCAGGTTGCCCAAGGCCACATCCAACCTGGCCTTGAACACCTCCAGGGATAGCCTTTTCACAGTAACTTAGAGGCTCACATCCCTTAAGTGTTTACACAAGCTGAATAAACCTGTAGGTTTCTAGAGCCTTTTCTTCTGTTCAAACTTTTTGCCTAGGCTGGGCCAGGTGGGTGGTACAGTGGTGGGCAACTGCCCAGTCCCAAACCCTTCTGCTGTCTCAATGCAAGAATGCCAACTGGCAGTACTCTGGTACTCATCCATGTTGCCAGCTATGACTAGCAATGCCAGGAGAATATATCTAGTACAAATAAGTCTTCCCTTCAGCTCTACTGCACTCGTTACATTTCACGGGGAATCCTTTCCTTCCTTCTCCATGTGGAGAGCTTCTGCAGCAGCGTAGCGTGAGAGGCTGGGGACCCTGTGATTACTTGGCGTAGAAAGTATGCTGGTCGCTCTTCCTTTATGTTTTCCATGAAGGCATATTTGCAGGGGGAAGGTGTTTGGTGGTTTTCCCCACTACCAGGAGACTGCAATGCTGCAACTGCTGCCCTTTTAACCGATGCTCTGAGGCATTTCGTTCTTCTAACTGCAGACTGTTTGGGTGACAGATATTGATGAGTGCAAGACGGGGTCCCACACCTGTGGAGAGAATATAACCTGCACAAATACAGAAGGAAGCTTCACTTGCTCGTGTGCTGATGATGCTTCTGGAACTGGCATCGGTTGCAGTGAGTAAATGGAGTGAGCAATTAAAATCAAGTGGCCCTTAACTAAGAACTGTGCTCTTGGATAAATTGTTATACCAAGAAATTATGGAAACCCTTTATAGTGACATAATGGGCAGCTTGTGGATCCATATAGCATTGCTTTGGGAGGCTGTTTTGAGGTGGCCTAAGGAGACCAGATCTGAGCTTGGTTTGGAAATATCTACATCAAGGTTCAATGCTAATTTGTACTGTGTAAATGTAATGACACACCTATCTAATGGCCTTTGCAATCAACAGCTGTAGTAAATGCTCCTTGGAGGTAACATTTTTGGAGGTGATTTCAGTCTGCGTCATTTTTCAAGCCCTCTGTGCTTTCTTTCCCTCTGCAGAACGCTCGCACAAGAACTGCACATAATTTAAGTCCCATTTAATTCTTCAGAATAAGCTAGGGTTTCAGATCCAGTGGTTAATTTTTCAAAAGGGCTCTGAAGCTCTTTAGAAAATCTGGTTACCAGTTTAATGAGGGGAGCTGCTGAAGGTTCAGCACAAGTGACTATAGGACCCTCATTTCAGTGCCTCAATGTGACAGCAGCATTCTCTGAAAATGTGGAGCTGAGTGACTCATCGTCTTACTCTGTGTCAGCCCTCTTCATCGGGGGGGAATTTTACTCCAGATCAAGTGACTGTCTGATGATGGAGGGACACTGTGTGATTGTCACAGATCTCTTTCTGCAGAAAAACAGAAGGGAATTATGGCTTTTTAAAGTAGGAGACCTATCAGAATCCCCACCCCCTTTTCAGTCACTTAAGCTTTCAGTAGTTTCAGGTTTCACTCAGGAAATGATGATTTTTAAATGATGCATGACTTGGAAGTAATGCCTTCTAGGTCCATCAGCTGTAAATCTGATCCCATGTCTTCACGTGTGTTAACGCACTGTTTTAGTTCTTTGCATAATAAGCTCTTTTAGCAAGCTGAAATTTTCTTTGCAGAATGCAGTCACACCTGGGGTTCACTAAAATCACTCATCCCATTCCATTCAGGCTCTTTGCCATGGCAGTTCTCCTGCAAATAAAATTTTAAAAAACAAATGTCATTGAAGGTCATGTTGCAATGAAACTGGTGTGAGTCATAAAACTGATCCCATAAATGTATAAGAGCGATTAGGCGCATTTGTGCTAAGCCATACTGCTAGAAATTCTTTGCCATGTAGATGTTTGGTTCTGACCTATAGATTTGCTGTAGCATTGAAGTAGGTGAGAAAGTACTTCTTCTCTGTAAGGGCGCGTCTGCACTGCAGGTCATGCTGTGCAGAGATATTAGAGTTAACTTTAAAACTAGCTAGTTTGGATATCTATTTAGGTGACAGTGTGTGCGATTCAGGGCAGGCTACAGATATCTTTGAAGAACTGAGTCAACAGAGTTCTCTGCTTCCCCAGTGATGCTGTTATCTGTACCTGAGCTAGCTTAAAACAAGAAAAAATGTGATCTGCAGTCACACATAGATGCAATCAGCTGGATGGCAGCAGAGTAGAAATAATCTGCATAAGAATGATAAGTTGCATGTGGAGACTTCTCAGTCTGAGATCCAAAAGCGTGAAATACAGTCACCTGTACATCTGACTTTGGTACTTTATGCATGGTATAGATTTACCTTACCCTAGAGCTGCATAAGTTGCAAAAATCATTTAAGCCTAAGTTAACTAGACAGCCAGTGTAGTTTTTCTTCAGAGCAGTACTCGCACATCTAAATAGACAGATCACAGCCAACCTCTGTGAGTCTTTCATTGCAAATCTAGAATCGAGGATATTTAGTATTTTGATCTAAAGTTCTGTGTGCCTAAATTTGACAAGCAACTTAAGCAAATAGGCAAAACACAAGTAATTGGTCAAAATCAGAGATTTTTACTTACTTTCCTATCTTGAATTCTGGAAGTCTGTCATAAGATCACGTTGCCAGTGCAGCCAAAGGTCTGAGATGTTCTTGTGGAATCCTGTGTTTCAGAATCTACTGTGTCCCCGGCTGTTGTCACCAATGAATACTCTACACACCCTGTGCAAGGTGACTCTGTAGGATGCCCTCCTTCGTATGAGTCATACTGCCTCCATGGTGGAGTGTGCAATTATGTTTCTGATCTACAAGACTATGCCTGCAAGTAAGTACAGAAATGTTTATTGTCTGCTGATAAATGGTATCCTTAGGGCTGAGTTGCAGACAGTGAGGTGTTTGTCCAGAAGTTATCTGTTAATTACTCATTCTATTTACAACTATCATTAGACTCTGCACTTTTCCATAAGTGATCACTATAAGTTTCTGTGAGTGGTCACTCCCTTCACACTCATTGCAATTAATAATAGGGATGGATTTGTTCCCTAAGCATTCAATTCTTTGCTTTGGAAATGTGAGAGAAGTTGTTAAGTGACCTGGTGCTCATGGCTATATGAAAGAGATGCTTGCTGTCTCTCCTGTACATACTGTGCTGACTTGTACCTCCCTGTTGGCCTTGCTGTTCATGTGTAGCACTTGTGGGATGGAAGAGGACACCTCTGTCTTTTCTTCTTTGATTTGGACCAGGGAGGAGAAGTCTGGTGTCAGCATCTTCCCTTAGAATTTGTAGAGTCTTGGTCCCTGGCAGAAAGGGTACAACATGATGGTCCTCCTACAAACATGCAGAGTAGCAACGAGACCTCAAAAATGAGACCTCCTTCCTCCTGTAGATATTTTTGTGAAGCCTAATTCCCGGTTGCCCAAATGCAGTTATAGGTAAAAGCAAAAAGAATCTCATATTTCCAGAAGTCAGCCTTGGCCTAGTCAGTGTGACAGCCTAGTCCCATGGGGCAATCATTTCTTCAGAACCATTGGTGCTGGCATTTAATTTTGTAACTTGATTATATTTGAATCTGTGTTACATCTTTCCTCAAAATCAAACATAATAGTGTTTACAGTGGGACAAATCCAACGACTGCCTCCTCCCCTGGGGTCTCACCTGGTAAGAGAGGACCTGTGCAGGGGATGGATGCTGTTCCGTAGCAGCCAAATCTCCCTCTGTGTCTCATTAAGTCAGGTGGCCCTGGTAGAACCCTGGAGTGAGGAGAGCAAGCTTTGTGCTGAAGGGTTTCTTTGACCCACCATTCCCTCAGGTCTTCCTTGTACTGCACTGCAGGAACCTCTGCACCAGGCCATTCCTGTAAGCACTGTCAAATCCTAGGCTTTCTTATTGTTGAATATGAGAGTTCTCCCCTGCCTACAGACCTCTGTACCTGCAGGAATATGAAAAGAAGGTATCTCATGTATGTATATGGGAATGAAGGGGATGCTTTGTGCCATGGATTTCCTAAGCTCAGCAAAGCCCTTCGGCAAAGCCATTACAGGAGATGGGCTCATGGCCACGTCTGGGGTTTGTTATGATTTTTTAGAGTAAATTTTAGAGGCATTGAAATCTTTTTATCCACTTCATTGAGTTTCTCCTGTTGAAACTGAAGAGCCTACAACTGCAGAACTTTCAAGTTGGATCACATCTTTTTTCTTTTATTAGGTTTTAGTGAATAATAGAAATCCAAATGTACATATTCTTCAGTACTGGAAGTGGAAGCCATTTAAAAAAATTAAGGGAAAATTGTGCTTAGCACTATTCTTGGGAGTCAGGTTTTGTGTGTGGTCCATGCTGAATTCTCACTAGATGGCAGCATTCATTCATGTAGGCTGTAATATATTAAATAGCAAAACAAAGTAATGGAAAAATGTTACCTAGCAAGAATATCTAAAATGACATCCCAAATGTGATTTGTATTTTAGTTAATAAAAACTCTTACACTAGAAAGTAGGTCTTCTAGCTTGTTTGGAATTTATTGTAATCTTACATTAAAAAATTAACATTTTTCTGCCTTTCAACATACATACGTTCTAATTTGTGACAGAATGAGAGTGCTTGTGTCTGATTTAATAATGAATGGTGATATAATGTTTTCAGGACATTAGGTAAAAGCTGCTGCAGGTCAAGTTCTGCTTCTTTTGCTCATTTGACTAGCTCTTTTGCCTTGAGTAAAACTAGACTGATAAAAATTGTGAGCAGGATTTGAGCCTACAATGCTCAGAGATTGTTATGAATTGAGTAGACTTTTCATTTTTTGTGTTTATTATTTTCTTTTTTATGTCTCTCACCTCAGACAATAAAACTAGGCTGGGATTCTTTTTGATGTATTTCTCACTTTCTAGTAATTTCGATTTGAGGGTTTCATGCACTGATAAGATATTTCGATGTTGGGTTTTACAGTGGTAAAAACAAACAAATAAACAAAAACTGCCTACAGAAGAACCTTGTATTAAAACTAAATTATGAAGGTATTTCTAACGCATATGAGATTTTTTTTACACACTTTCATTTGTCTTTTATTTTAAAGCAAGGATTTAGATTAAAATTTGATTCCCTTAACCAAATCACTCTGGAAATACGAGTAAGTCCTATGTTGCCTGTTTCAAAGAAGGAAGCTTGCTGCTGGAAACAGTTAAATGGAAAATCTTAGGGAATTTTTGGGAAAGACTAAGCACACAGCAAGATTTAAGAGAAAATTATTTTTTCTATTCTTTACTCATTACAATCTGGAAATTATAATCTCCCTGTATAATTCTACAGCTTTACAGTAAAAAAAGTCTTTTAATATAGAATTTTACAGGTTTTGACAGCCATTCCTTTAAAGTCATTTTGTCTTCACCACTACTAAATTCAACCAGATATTTCCGTAGCAGCTGCCAATGGTAAATCAATATAAAAGGTGACTGAAGTGATGATGTGGGGTTTTTCCTCTGCTGCCAGTTACAAAGTGTGCTCGGTTCCTTTTGGCAGCTGTGTGACGGGCTATGTCGGGGAGCGGTGCCAGTTCAGTGATCTGGAGTGGTGGGAGCAGCAACACGCCGAGCGGGTGAAGATGCGGAACATCAGCATCACAGTGTGCATAGCAGTGCTGGTCCTCCTGCTACTGCTGGGCTTCCTGGCTGCCTACTGCCACAGGTAGGGCTTCCAAACACACGCTGTGAATGTGCGGCACAGGGACCGAGGTGCTGCTGACTTTCACTCATGGTTCATGGCAAAGAACGTGAGCTGTTCCTCAGCTGGTGGAAAGCACCATGTCATCCTTGCTACTCGTTTGCTTTTCAGTAATTGGATTTATGAATAATTCAGAAAGTTCTGGCATGTCCCTTGCCTGCAGTACTCTCATTGGTGTTAGTGAGTGACATGTGTCTGGAGGGACGAAGAATAGACCTTATTAGGTTTGAAGAGGAGCCATAATTGGTATTGATGGGAGAGTTCAGGAGCCATGCTATTTACTTCTTCCTTGGCTTCCCATAAGACCTATAGATGTCTGAAACCCTCATGGTAGGGTTTGGCTCTTCTCTGCTAGCTATTCCATTAATTTGGTTTTGCTTCCGTTTCAGTGTAGAGTGGCACCTGAACGTTTCCTTGCCATTGGGAAAAGCAGTCTACTAACCTTCCGATAGCAAACTTCCACAGTGATGCCTCCAGCAATGGATGTGAAAGCAGTTTTCCTGGCAGTAGAAAGAGTAAAACCAGGGATGTGAGCCTAAGGCACATCTATTGTAAAAGTACTCCCTGGCATTTTCCATGGCTGTAATGAATTGTGCAGGTTTGGGATTCTTCTCATGGCAAAAAGAATCTCTTCAGTCACTATTTAAGAACCCAGTCTGATGTGAAATTAAATGTCATCGATGTCTCTTGGACTGGAAAGTACTCAGCATTTAATAAGTTAGAGTCTTTTGGCCATGACCTTGGCAGATAACTGTTCTCAGATTCTTGTTTAAATGCATATTTATACTTAAAAGTAAACAAACAAAAAGCCAGACAGGAGCCATATCAAGAGACTTCTGCTGCATGCTGACCTGCCCTCCGTGCACAGGGGTTTTGTTTGTGGTTTAGGCTAATTTTAAAATTAGACTCTCCTAGGCATAAAAAGTTAATGTACAAAAGAAGTTAACTATGGAAGCTAATCTTTGCCATTCTTATTTAATGGTCCCTAGCATATTTAGTCCATAAAAGTAGAGAAGCTGCCATGTTTCTTATTTTCTATTAACTAATGGTAGACGTCCAGAATTAAAGCTAAACACAGCCTGGTTTGTTCTCATGACCTGGGATTCAGAAGCTGATCAGTGGAACGAAACATACAGAATAGACAAATTTTGAGATTTTTACATTTCCCATATAAACTGTCATGAAAAATAGCCAGAATATGGCTGGGTTTGAGGTATGAAGATATTCATTCTCTTCCCTTCCTCTCTTTTTTTGTCATTTCTACCTGATCGGCCTTTCTTTCTTGCCAAATGCTTTTGATCAATATAACTATTTACCTCAACAACAAGTTTTCAATTACGTGCTTGACTTAATTTGTACTGCAGTTATTACTAGCATAATTAGATCAAAATGAAACCACTGACCTAAAATCCCTATTTAACTGGAATCTCAAAACCAGTATTTGGGTTGAAATTGCTATGCTGCTTTTTCACATAATCTACCGTATTATCAAAAATACTGATGAAGTCTGTAATAGTCCTGTTCCTTCCCCTTTAAAATGGAGACGCCTCTCTCCTTTTAATTGGAGGAAATGAAGCGGAGACCTACAACTGCCAATTTGAAAAATATATAAACTGGAGGCCAAGAATACCTAAGTATTGTGTTGGTTTGTTCAATGGCTGTAGTCTGCTGAAGAGCAATGTGTTATCCTTAATGTTAGGTTTATGCAGTCTGTATAGTATGCCGAGTTTCCTATCTTCCTTGGGAAGCAAGGAAACAACTCTTTTCCAACAACAACAACAAAAAAATCTGAATCACAGATTTAATACCTGCAATCCCTCCACCTCAATTGGCCAAGGCCGTGCAAAAATCAACTGTAGAGCTGGGATTAGGATTGAGAAATTCTTGGCCTCTTGCCCACGCTCGGTCAACTAGATGTTGCTGCCTCGTCTGCTTGCGCTCAGTCTCACACGAAGACTCCTGTGCTCGCCAAGTCCATCTGGCATCTGTTACTCTGCATGCTGCAAAGTAAGATGTAGAATTAGTAGCGGGGCATCCCGCTCAGGACCGTGACTGTGTGTGAGCTCTGTGCAATGGATTTCATAACTCTTGAGTAATGGGCTCGAGTTTTGTCAGTGCTATGAGCTGCAACGAAGAACGGGCACATGCGGGTGACAAAATGTGAACAGCAGCCTTGCCACAGTGTCAGGAAAAGTGAAAATGGACTAATTTACCTTATTTTTCAGCATTCTGCTCTGTGGATATACCCTCAGATCTGATACCTATTTGATTTCGCATTAGGAGTCCCAGTGTCTGCAGTCCCTCTACTGCAGACAATTACTTTTTTTTTTTAATGTTTGAATACACAGGAACATGTTATAGAGAATCTGGGGAGAAGATCCATGGTGGAGACAGGTCTTTCTTGTTTCTAGCAAAAAGCAAATTTCATTTACATTGGATTTTCCTGAACAGAGCAACATATGACAATTATTGTAGATGCACTTTCCCAGTTAGCATATGAACGTGATATAGAAATAAAAGGAAAATTCCTATTTTCTTTGGTGCGTGTCTATTAAATTTCATTTAAAATGAATGAGGCTTCTGGAAGCTGAAGAGTGTAACAGTAATTTTCTTAGGTGATGGCTAGGAGGAGAAAGAACATGTATGTAAAGTCAGTAGAGATGTACCAATTTGCATCTCAAGCGGTGTAAATCAGCTCTTTCTCTTATGACCGTGTTTTCTATGTTGGGGCCTATATGGGCTTTTAATACCACCTTGTATGTGATTGCTGCTTAACTGCAAAAATAACAACTTTTGAATTTATGGAACTAGCCACTTAGAGCTGATTATTTGTATCCTTTTCCAACTCCAGGTTGTACTCTTGGCTTTTTTCCCCTTGAGGTAATTCTGTTGGTCATGCTTTTTCCTGGAAATGTCTTAGTTCCAAGCTTTTTAAGGCTTTCAATTTGTTTATGTCATTGTAATTTCTGATTTTTTTTTTTCATAAATGATGCAGATAAATGCAGAAGTGACTTTCATAATTGTAATTATCAATGGTGTACAAAAACACAATCAGATTTTTATTTCTGAGCTTCACCCACAAACGCTGTTCATTTTATTGGCTGAAACCTAAATCTTTATAAGAGGAATGTATTATGCCCCTTCTGTAAATGCCTATAGAATAATGTGTGAAGGGAAGTGGCATCTGTTCTTCCCAAAGCAAAACAATTTTTTTTAGCTTTTGTTCTGTTGCAGAAGTCAAAACTTGTATAAGAAGAATCTCTATGCAGAAGTGGTAAGAGATGCGAGCAGCCGCGCTGACAATGAGAACGTGACACCTACCAGCACCGAGTCTCGGGTAACTATATTAATGCGGAGTGGAGAGGGAAGCAGGAAGGATCAAAGAGTGTCGGGGATCCACTTGAGATTATCCATCAAATAATTCACATCTTAAATATATTAAATAACTGCTAGAGTCATCAAGTGCTTTGCTGTGAACCCTAGTTCATCTTACCTCATTGTTATCCCTCGAAGTTCACAGCTGCCTGGATGTATTGCAACCATTAGCCAGTGTTATTGTTAGCTTTGAACGCAACAGTTGGGGAACTGTGTTCTAAATTAAGGAAATGGCAATGTGATGACATGGCATATCACAGAGTTATTTTCACAGGAAAGTATGCCCTCAGTAAAAAAGGCTTCTTGGAAGCCAAGTATTGTGTGCGCTACATGAGATGTTGAACTTTATTTTGGGGGTTGATGAAATTAAATGTCTTTGTATTTGAGGCTGCTGCCTTGTAAAGAAAAACAACCAGGACGTTATTGGGCAATTTGGGAGGGAATATAAAATACAAATTCTGCACTGGTGTACGTAGAAATGCCATGGTGATCCGGTTGTACTAGCTTGTTTCTGTTGTCATTTTTGAAGTTGCATCAGAGAATTTGGCCCCTTAAGGTCTAATCTAAGGACCAGATTCTCTCTGGCATTAAAATGACATTACACTGCTGGGTGATAGCAATTGAAACTTGAGGTTGGCAAAAGTGACATAACTGGCATCTGTGGCTACTTCTGTGCCCAGTCTGAGACTCCTTTCCCAGAATGGCATGACTTACCACGAGAGCTTGTCTGCACATGTGTATCATTCGGCTCCAAGTAAGCCACTGGAATGCAGGTATCACCATACTTGTCTGGGTAGCATCACATTAGTTAAGCAGCATATGCTCTTCAAAACAAGCACAGTTATGCCAGTGGGAAAGAATACTGGAAGTGTTTGTACTTGTACAGGATTGGCGATAAACTCTAGTGAAGCGCATACCTTTTTACTGGGGTAACTGCACACATGTTTTTCTAATACAGGTCTTACTGCAAGGTTTTAAACCCTTCCACACCCAGCTACAGCCAGAAAGGTACAAGAACCACGTGCCTAGTAGTCACGGTCACAAAAGAATTTGACTTTAAATGGCCTGCTCCAAATCTTTGAGTCCAGAAAGAGATGAGTTTGTTCTACTTGGGAGTCTGTTTGAGGGGTTGAATATCATGGACTATTTATAGTGCAAATCCAAGGATTTTGAATCAAGCCAAAGAAGGCCTCGCAAATGGTTTAGATTGAGTGTCTGGCAGGATTTGTGAGTGGGTAGCCACTGAAACACATTGTCAAACATATGTTGGGAGTACTGAATTGACTTGACCCTGGTTATGACATTGTTCCTTAGGTGGTCAGTTGCATACTCCTGGGGACCTTTGTTCCACCAGGTATTGGACAGCAAATGTGCTGAATTGCGGCAATGTCATCATTTGTTCACAGCAGAGATGAAAACCGCAGCTTGCAAAATATCTGAGGCTGGGAAAATCAGAAACATTTGTTGGGACCGAGAACAGCTCGTTGCCTGGGACCAGTGGTCTAGGAGGCCTGCAGCTCATCAACTCTGTCCCCACCTGCTGTTGTCCCCACAGTTAATGCTAGTGGCCAATGACATTTTTGCTGAATATAGGAGTAATTAGACAGCTAAGCAATGGACTGAATCAACAAAAACAAATCCAACCTACTCATCTATTACACACTCGTGTTAAATTTCACCATGCATTCTTGCACCGGGAGACATCAAATACATCAATAAAGTAATTTATTGCAAATGGCTCGTTGCAGTCTGGAAGAGGAAACCACTGACCCTTTGCTAATTATTCCTGCTTACACAGTAATGGATTCCTGTGGTTTCATGCATGTGATTTTCTCTGTGCTGATGTAGCCATTGAGTGTTGAGTTCACTGTGGCTTCATGCATGCATGCACTCAGGTTAGAAACTGTAGAGCTGCCAAAAAGCAACAGGAAGTTGTCCATTTCTGCTGTTCACTTACAGTGGATTATTGGGGAGCTTTATGTAAAAAAGATTATACTACATCGGGGACAGAAAACTCTATAGTTCCTCAGCTCTTAAGGTACTGGGATAGGTTTTTGGCTGCTATTGATTTACACAGCATAAATAATCCCGTTGAAGGACTTCATATGGGGACTGGATGATGTGTGTGCAGTAGCTGTAAAAAGATGCTGAAATTCACTCCTTTTGTAGCCCACAGTGCTACTGCTCATTTCTGAGGCTGGGGAGAGAGAGTGCAAACACTTCCGTGTTCTTGCCCATCTGGGTGAGTGTAGACGATAACGAGGTTTTACGCCATCATACATATCAAATGATAGGTATTCTGATACTGAAACTATAGCTATAAATTGTCCAAGTGTCATTCATTTTTCCCTTTACTTCTATTCTGCCAAGTGAGGCTACATTTAGCTGAGGGTATGCCTGGGTATTTTTTCGCATTCGTATTAGAGTTTTGTAAGCCAGGCTGGGTTTGTCCTAGGGGTGTGTAAGCCTCGGTAAACTCTTGCACATGCCTGGATTTTGGTGCTATTCTAAGACTTTTCATCCAGCAAGTGTTCTGCTTTCCACAGTTAAAGATATTTTGCAGAACTGTGGGTAGCTGAATCTCCTCCGGGGGTCTGTCACATGTGGGTTAGCAGCTGTAAGCCTACAGATTTTATGTAAATGAACTGATGCCTAAATAGTCACACCTGCTGCAACTGTGATCTATCCACATAAATCCACCAATTATCCACCTGGACCACTGAATCTGTCAGTCCTTCTGTTGGAACATCTTATTTAAAAACATTTTATCTTCTTCCCTGTCCCTGCAATTTAAACATCCCCTTTTTACTGTGTTTCCCTCTTTCTCTCTATACTATTTCAGCACAGTGCTTCACATTACTTTCCTCTACCCCTGTATTTTCTGTTTTCCCCCTGGCCTTTTCAACATGTTCCCCCAGAAGGTCCCATCTTGTGCTTCCAAGGCGTCACTTCCACTGTCACTGTGGGACGATGGAACTGCAGACCCCGAGTGGTGCTGAGAGCTGCAAAGGGAGGATCGCTTCCCTCCCTGTGTCTGACAGGGTTTCCTGCTGTCTGGTTGAAGGTCTCTCTAATGCTTTAAAAGCGGTCCTCAGTACTACGGAGAGGGTTGATTTCCACGTACTTTTGTTCTTGCCTCAGGAAAGGTTGTTTTGCAAGGCAAGAGAATGGCCAGTTCTTTACTAGACTGGGACTGCACACTTTCCAAAGAGAGATCGGGGCTGTCATCAACTCAAATGTTTAATTATCTGCAGGGGAAGGGTCAGCCCAGAAGCCAGGATGACCTTTTTCCCCCTGCTGTGATTGGAGTGTGTGGCCCTTTTAGTTTACCTCTTGGGTTTCAGAAAACTGGTTCCTTTTGTATTAATTTGGGCTCTGTATATTTTGTGTATATTGTACGTATTTGCAGTTTGCAGTTGTTCAGGAGTGTAACAGTTCTCTGGAGACTAAAGCGGTTGATCTAATTGAGTGCGAGACAGCAGATCTTCATCCTGCCTGTCCTTCAGAATATGGTGAGTAGGATTGCCTTCCTTATTAGATCTCTCCTCACCTTTGTACCAGTAGCAACAGCAGCTGATAGAGGAGACAGAGAAATCAAAATTGTATTTCTGGCCTGTTTATAGCTGCCATGCACAGCAGAAGCCATGTTTGTATTGCTGTGAAGAGACCATTCAGCCCTTCGCTTTGCAGATTACTCACGAGAGATTACACAACAGTGCTTTCACACTCATAAGAAGCTGCATGCTTCTCACAATAGTAATAATATCACATTTTTACATTGATATAGAACTCTACAGGTTTGCTTCATTAGCAGATGAGTTATGCCCATCGTACTGATGGGGAATGTATATCCGTGGAAAGATATACTTTGACACTCCTTATTCATTCAGGCAGGATAACTGACATGGTGTGAGGAGTCCAGGACTCCCCAGAAACCTGTTGCCCTGTGGCAGCAACTGCAGTTCTGCTTTTATGTTAAACAAGGTGTTTGGCTGCCTGGGGTGTGTTTGGTGCTTAAACAAAGATGAGATGAATAAAGGAGATGTGCCTCCCACCCCTGGTGCAAAGGCAGCACAGAAGCACACCATGGGCTTCCGTGGCCCACAGGTTACCAGCTGGACCACTGTGAGTTTTAGGAAATGCTGCCTTATAGATGGCAACTGAATCTCCTAATTGCTCAGATGGTGAGAAATGGTGGAAAAAGACTGATACCCTTAATGGTTTGTCTTATTTACCATATATAACTCCTGACTACAGAAGTTACAAGACAACCCAGGTTGCATCAGTCATTTAGAAATATGCAAAGACAAATGTTTGAGGGCGCTCAAATGGACAGGCATCTCGCAAGATCTTCAAAATTGCCCATCCTGTCCTTAGACATATGTTGGGAAATCACTTTATTCATCACTAGAAAATATGCCTCACATTTACTTGGTTGGACTAATATTGTGAACATGTGTAGAACTGTATCGCCCAGTGAAGGAGGCCTGATGTTTCCCATTAGGAGGCTCTGTTTTCATTTATAGTTTTATCAGATGCAGCTATTGGAACAGAAATTTCGTGTGACAGATGTGTGATGTTTTCCTAGTTGAAAATTTTAGCGAAAGTCGTTCAACCATTTTAGACAACAAGTTCTTATACCATGCCAGTGAATAATTCTTTTGACTTTGGAGCAGGGGGTTTAATTTTGCCAGGCAGGTGGTCTTGCTGTCACAGGCATGCATTTTCCTGTTCTTGTATATTAAAACAGAAAACCATGATATTTGCCTAGGACGACATTTCTTAAAATCTGAAGAAAGTCCTTGACATTGCCTCTTTTTTTTTCTTTTTTCTTTTGACAAGAATTGGTTTTGCAATTTTCTGAACTCCGTGCTTCCTTTCATAGCTTTCCTCTCTCAAAGCTGACATTAGCTTTCTTTTAGCTTAGTTATTGTGAAGCTTCTCAAATGACTTTCAGTAATACATACCCATTTTCTCCAGTGGAACAACAGCCTATAACATATGACAAAGCAGCAGAGACTTCGGCAGAAGAGGAGAAAGAAGGTGGCTGTTGTCAAGAGGTTCCTGTCGGTGAAAAATCGCGTCAGCCCATGGGGGCGGCAAAGGGCCCTCCCCAGGCTCCATGGAGCATCCATCCCAAGCCCCTGCTGGAAAGAGAGCCCTGCGAGCTTGTCCCAGCCAGCCTGCTGATGCAGCCAGACTAGAAGCAGCCTGGGTTTGAGCGGGAAAAGGAGGAAGGATGAAGTCAGTAGCGAACGGGAACTCATGAGATGCTGAAGCAACCCTCATTTTTTCATTAAAATCTGCTCGAGAGAAAAAAAAGCAACACAAATCAAAACAGAACAGAGAAGTCCTTGCCACTCCTTCCCTGTCATCTCTGCTTGGAAGAATTACTGTGAGCAATGTATTAGCAATGAGTACTCTATAAGTATCACTTTAAGGGTCACTGCTGCTAACTTCATTAACTGCCTGCTAAAAGGACACTGAGGGGAAAACAGACTAGAAAGTGATTTGTCAGAGATAAGTACTTTCTAATGGAGTTTATTGCAAGTAGCGGTCTTTACACATACGCACACAGAGTCCAGAAAACTGCCTAGAAAATGGGCCACAAGCACAACTGCAGAGAAACTAGAATGGAAGATGATGCAGGAAAATAAGTTAAAACCAAATCTTTTTGTTAAAATGTCGTTCATGGACACTTTACGCCTCTCCCCAGCACTGCTGTCAGGCCAGTGTAACTTCTTGGACTTCACCAGAGATGTTCTTGTATCTGCTTCTGTGAGTGAACACAAAATGGGGTCCTGCATTTCTCAGGTGTGGTGGGCTGGAGCGTTGTTTGTGAGCACATGGTATTAATGATGGTCACATCTATTAAGTGAGAGGTACCATTTGAGGGGAAAGGTGATTCTTCCATTAAATTTTCCAGTCTTCGCTGGTCCTTCAGAGCATTACAGGATTGTTTGTGGACTGAGGCCGTGTGTTTGAGTCTGCTTTCAGCCCTGCGAGGAAGCACGTGCTGGAGCTGTCCTTGTCTCACAGAAGCGTGTCTGGCAGCAAAACCTGGTTCATTAGTTAGGACTTAGTCTGGGGAAAGAAGTACAGCCAGCTGCTGCTCCAAAAGAACAGGAGGAGTGGGACAAACAAACAAAAACCCATCTCAGCTTCGACTAACTTCCACACAGGTGATTTGTGCTGCCTGATAAAATCCACAGCATCAGTTGGAAAACAACACCAATTTTTCTTGCAACTGGCTTTCTAACAGCTATAGCTCCCTTCCAGTTAATTACTAAGAACTAACTCACTTATAAAGCTCTGTTCTATACAGAGCTGTAGCTTAGTTGTTTATCATCTCAAGTGTTTTTCACCGGTGGTCTTGAGTCCCTAAGGCTGTTTTCAGAAGATTTTGGAAGATATTTGGAAATCAGCTATATTATTATAACGAAGTTTGAGTTGTAGGGGATCTCTCAGTCCTCTGTCTTTAGAGCCTTCTACTATAACTATCAGACACCTTCTTTAAACTCTGCTACAGTGTCCACCACTAGTGTTCCTTAAAATTCATTAGCTGGATAATAGTGGCAAATGTTATAATTTGTGTGCTTACCATCCCGCTTTTTGGGTTTTTTACAAACCTGCCAGGAAGGTATGGGATGTTCTCATTTGGTTACCAGGTCTGTAGGCCAATGGTGGGAAAATGTATTGAAAGGCTTTTACCTCTCATCCAAAACAGTTACACGCTGGAGTAACTTTGCAGAGTCAGTTCTGATTTATGTTGGTGTAAACAGTCAGAACATTGAGCCCAAGGTGTCTGAATTACAATAAATACAATGGTCTGTTGTGTAGAGAGTTGTCACTTATTTTTTTATCTTCTAAAGTGTTTTTTGCTAGTGGTTTTGAGTTGCTGAGTCTGCTTTCTAATCACATTAGTTCTGAATTCAGAATGAACTTGTAAAATAGGCATTTCCAGAGATTGGTTGGAACCGGTAGCAATAAAGACGCATGCTCTTGTGTGAATGGCAACAAGGGAGCTTCTGTGGAAAGAGAAGTGGTTGAGCAGAGTTCGCATACTAAACTATGTTCAGGAGAGGGCAACCACTGAGTTGAACCAGTAGTATTTGGTAGATTTTATTTTAAGTTCAGCATAGTTTAATTTCGTTAACATTATTAAAAGCATCTTGTTTGGATTCTTTGGTCTTTCACAGTTCATAATTGATCTTGTGTGTTTTGATGGGAAGAGAGTCCAGCCATAAAGGCCCTGATTCAGTAAAGCATTTTGTTTCTGTGAAAGCTAGACAGTAAAATGACTTTGATCCCTGCACTTTGATTATCTCTGGTGAAATATGTTTTTGTGCTTAAAATCAAAGTGTTGTGTTGAATGACAGTCATCTTTTAACTGGAATTTTCCCCGCTCAAAGGAAATAAAGATTTGTAACTTTGAATCTTGTCTAAACAAAGGTGTTTCAGAGTCCTTACAAATTAGTTTCATGTTCTCCCCCGTGTTATTTTTACTTTGATTTCTTTCAGTCTAGGGATCTAAATTTAAATTTGATAGTGTTCTTTAGAAAATAAGATAGGAAAATCAAGCTTATATGTTTTTGTAATTAGGGTGTTTTGAGTTTTAAATGTTTCCTAAACTCAGCTCTGAACTCAAAATAATCTTTAGTGTAAAACCTTGAGATGATATTTCAACACAAATATAATATATTTGGTTTATTTGTATGTTTATAAAGCTATTGATTTATAAAATAAAATTTAAAAAGATCCGTGGTGTCCCTCTTGTTTTAAAAGAAGAGCATGCAAATTTCTGGTTTCAGTTAACCCATGTCATGTTTATTGATAGCTCCGTTGGTTTCACACAACTGTAGTGTGTAATCTGTTGGTGCAGCACGTGCAGATATCATGGGTTTTTCTTACACCGGTCAAAGAATATAGACTAATGAGGATTATCTTCTGCAGCTCACAAGTAGATTCCAGCTTGAATACAGTAAGTTTTTATTTATTATTTTAGTTATACATTCCCATAAACCAATAGAAGCCATATACTCCTTTTTGTGCACATTTAAATGGCCGTTATGGATGTTGCTCCTTGTTTGTCTAGAAAGATTATCCATGGCTTTATAATATGTTTTCAAACTGATGTCCAGGATGTTATTGTCGGGCTTTACATGCAGATCAGTTGCAGTCAAATGGTTGAATCCTGGAGGATTCTCAGGTGTTTTGGCTATACTTTTTTCAGGTATGCAAAAATACCCAAACCCAGACTTTTAAAATTATTAGGCTTTCTGGGTATGTAGCTAACTTAGTAACAAATCCTACTGTTTTACTCTGACTTCTAGAAATGAAATTAACATGTGTTGTACTAAGTTGTAAAAGAGGAATTTAGAAACATGTGGGGGAAAGCTTGACAAGTCCAAAGTGAGAAAAATATTGAGAAATTCTAAAGAGCAAGGGAGAAAATAAGTTTGTTTAGTTTAGTACACCCTGACTTTATTGAAACTGAGATTTCCATTCTCTAAAGCCATATTTTCATCATAAACAAGTAAGGAATGATTTATGCTCATTCATCATAAACATAGGCAATGCAATGGTTCCTATTCATAGAAATGCATGACATACATTATTTTAAGTCCCTTTTGCAGTCACTTGCAGCTTTGCAGAAGTTCATCTGTTCAGGCAAAAATTTTCCTTCTTGGCAATCTCTTTCACAATGAAAATATTTCTAAAAAAAATCTAGGAAAAAAGTAAAAAAATTATTTGGAATTGGATTAAGGGAAGCCTCTGCTTATGAACTTATATTGTGTTTTTGTCTTATTGGGAGTCATTTTATCTCATGTTATTTCAGGGTGATGCCTACGCTGTTCATTTAGTCTTCAGGACACACTTGGTGTTATTGCTTCGCTTCCTGATAACTTGCCATCTTTATCTCTGTGCATGTGAAAAGGAAAGATGTTAGTGGCATTAGAAGCCTCCCCCAGAGCCCCAGGAATGCACCCCAAACACAATCTGCAAGGGTGATAGCCTAAGTTGGCTCATGTTCCTCTGATCTTTTATTGAGACTGCTGTTTAATGCCAGTTTTGATGTGGACCAGGAACAGCCAACTTTGTGAAGACTATTCATCATGGGATTAACTTTCAGGCACTCCTCAGTACTGAAGTGGACTAGATTCAGATCAGTGAAAAGCCTTAGTCCCTTCTAACCAACCTTAGGGGCCCTCAATATCATGCAATTTTAGGGCTTTGGAACTTGACTTTTGAGGCAACCACAGCAATAATCATCCGTAAAGGTGCAGAGGCCCTTTCGTATCAGGACTCTGGCCACTATCACATCTTCCTTCTCAAGCCTAGGTGTTACAACCAAAATGTCTTCTCCTTGCCTACTTTCTTTTGGAGGGGATGGTTCTGACTCTTCCATTGTGTCAGGTACAAGCAGAAGCTAAACCGAAGCCTAGAAGTAATTTCTACACTTCATAGATCAAGACCCTGTACTCCGGCAGCTGCCTTTTTTCCAGGTAAGAAGTTAGGATATGTCTCTAAGTTTAATTTTAAGAACATCCGAGTCCTAGACCATTGTTTTTGCTCGCACCCACTGCTGCATGATACTGCTACCTTTCACAAGCCCCCAGTTTTATACCACATGCCTTCCCCGAGCTTCAGGTCACAGCTAGTTTTGCCCATGTTACGGCTTATCTGGCCCCATCGGTCTGACCATTACGGGTCATGGGATGCCATCTGCCAGCCAGTTTTCAGTCCATGTAGCAATATTGGCCTTACCCATGTGGCCTTTATCCAAACTGATTTGGAATGGTTTTAAAAGTGAGTCAAAGACACCGTGTAAGGGAATTTCTCACTCTTATGTGAGCAGCTACTGGAAACAGAGCAGCTGGGGTCCTGGTCCATTAATAAGTCCCCTAGGTATTAATATGATGCAAACAATGAAAAGAATACTTAATAATTTATAAATTAATTAGCTACTCATGCCCATATGGAAAAAGAGATTTATTAAAAAAAAAAGCAAAAAACAAAACACAAAACGGTTTAATAGCTTTGTAGTTTCACGACCCAGCAATTTTTGTGCAGCTCTGGGCTTTTTATTGATTAAAGCCAACAAGTTTTATGTGCTGTATTCAGCCTTACAGAACAGCGTGCACATTTTAATGGACATGATCTCTGTTAATATTGGTTGCAGAAAAAAATACATTTAAATGTG